CTCATCAATTCAATATCATCTAGAGGCTTTTTGTCCGCCCCAGGGGTCTGAGGCTCTACATTTTCCTCTGCGCAAGATGATACATTGGACGTAGAACCTTCTGCATGGGCAATTGCTATTTGCATGTTACCCAAGTTGGGCCCCACATCCCCAAAAGTGACAGTATGCCTTGTGTCATCCTTTCAAGAGTTCACATGTCCTTTTTGCTCCACTTTACGCATGTTTAGTTCTGTATCCTCTTCTCTTATCCTATCTCACTACAAGGTTTTTCCCTTCTGGTGATTGTGCTGTTGTCTCTCTCGCGGAGTCAACTTAGACATATTACCTTTGATATTTTTCTTCTGTACCCCTACGTTCTGGTTGCTGAACCCCTTTGACCCTCCTTCTGTATCCCTATTCTGGTGTAAGGTATTTCCCTCGATTCTTGCACCATCGGCGGTGGTACCACCACTGCGGATATTGTTCGCGACGGCCGTGGAGCCATTCTCCATCTCTTTTTTCCTGGTTACTTGGGTTGCTCCAGTTGTTTTACACCCTTTCCTCTTAACCACCATCCATACTCCAAAAGCATCCTGAGTCTCTTTCTCCTTTTTCCTCGGTCATCATAGCATCCTTTGCACCCACCTCCTTAGAGGCTTGGCCATCTCCGATGTTTCCTCCTTGCTCTGACGTATGCTTCCCACCAGGGGTTGGTGCTTCCTTAGAATAGTCGAGCCCCCCATTGCAGGCTTCCTTTTTATGGCCATAGCGTCCACATGCGAAACATATCATGTGTAGCCTTTCATACCCCACATTGAGATATACGAATTCCTGCTGAATGAAATCCCAGATCTTGAATCTTGACACAAAACTTCTTTTTAGGTCCACTTCAACACATATCCTGGCAAACCTAGCCTTGTCTGTGATCTCCCCTTCCATGCGTTCCACCCTTCTCAAGGAAGTTTTATCCACTTTGAGGGTTCTTCCTAGCATATTCCCGATCCTCCAGAGGTGCTGCATTGTATAGAACTCCGTTGGTAGCCCAGGGATCCTCAATCAGACCGCTAGCTTCCTAACCTACTCATTGTATGGGTTAAAGAACGATCTCCACCTCTAAACTATTACATAGTGGTCAGCAACGATCCAAGGTCCTTCATGCAAAACATGTATATAGTCCTTTTCTTCTTTAAAGTTTAAGAGAAGTGGCCATTGTCCGAATCCGCCAGCTCATATGTCCCCACTAGGTTCCACAACCTTTGTAGTTTTTCCATCAGGAACCTTGATGCTAGTTTCTTCCCCATAAGTTTGATGATCAGAGCATTCCTCCACTTCCTACAATCTTCCTTGTGTTGCTTCTTGGAGAAGACATACGTTGGGCATAGAGGGTCATTTTCCTTACCTAACCTCACCTCATCAGGCATGTCCTCTTCCTCTTCTTCCTTTCTTCGGACTGCTATCCAGTCCTCCTCCTCTTCATCTGACGCATTGCCCTCACCATTAAGGCACAACACCTTGTCCCTGTAAGACACCATCTTCCTTCCTTTGCCACCCAGGTTTCCCTTGTTATGCAACTCCTGAATCTTCTGAGACAAAGGATTGTCCTCCTCCTGAAGCGTTTCTTTCTCCACCATATTATCATCCATATCTGTATCCACAAGACCATTGTCTCCTTTAGGCTTTTTCACACTACGCGCTCTGGAATCCTCCTTATCCCACGAGGGTTCTTCTCTAGACTTCTCACTGTTTTCTCTCCAGTCCCCATTTCTCTAAACCCTAAACTCTTACAAACTGGCTTATTCTATCCAAGCCTAAAAGTTACATTAACCTTTCAAAAGAAAAGAATGAGTTTTTTCGTTAAGAAAAGAACTAGACCCATTATCATAAGCCCAAGAAGACAAACATAGGTTAAGCCCAGTAAATCCCAAAAAGAATAAAACGCATGCAAAGCAACCCTAGAGAACCAAAAGTAAAGGAACATTTGTCTGTTAAATGAAATAACTGAAGGCCGAAGAAAATCGAACCCATGCTTGGAGAACGCCAAATATGGGTTATGATAAGAAAGAGTTGGAAAAAATCTAAAGCGATCTACTGAAAAATTTGGTGATTCCTCTTGTAAAGAGAGAATTTTTCTTTTTCTTTTATTCATATTTTTTTGTTTCTTTTTTCCGTCCACATTTGTGCGAAGAGAGCGAGTGGTGATCTCGGAGCACCCAAATTTATCTTGAAGAGTTGGATCTGGAAGAGAGTTAAGTGATAGCTAGAGAACTTAACTTCCTATTAAAAAAAACATTTTAGAACCTCAAATGAAGCCTTGCACAACACCACCAATCTAGGTTAATTATTCAATTTTAAGCGATGACGTATTCAACAGGTTCTAGGTTAATGTTGATGGCCTTTGACTTATTTTTTAAACTAATTAACTGTTGAAAACTCATCGCACCGAACCATCTTACGTTTACTTGGTGCACGTTTGACGCTTCTTTACACAAGACAAAAACATAAGAAGAAAAGGTCACATAAAAAAGGAAAAAAATTATAATATAAAGAAAATAATCATAAAAATAAAAGTAGTGTGAATAAGTTATTTTCATCGTATTTAAAGTGCTCAGTATCGTAACACTGAAAATATTTTCCATATAGAGATCACGAGCACTAGGGTTGTAAATGGGCTAGGCTAGACTTTGGCTTAAATAGGCCAAGCCTGTGTAAAAAACATTGGTTATGGTATGACCTATTAACCTGTGTAGGCTCCAAATTACAAGTTTAACCTGACCTATATTCAAAAAATAAAAGCTCTGGCCTAGGCCTGTTAGCCTGTTTAAGCCTATTAAACATTAAACAATTAAATAAATAACTAAAATAATATATTTTATTATTCAAAATTATTAAATAATAATTTTATTTATTATATTTTAAATAAATAATATGATATAGGCCGGCCTGTAAGCTTATAGGCCCGACATGTACAAAAAAGCCTATAACCTATTTTTTAAATAGGTTTTTTTAAAAGCCTAAGCCTATTATATTTTACTATTTATAATAGGTCAAGCCTTACCTAATATAGGTTAGGTCGTAGGCCCCTGTAGGCCGGCCTAGCCCATTTACACCCCTAACGAGCGCCCGTTTGGATGAATAATGTATTTGGTCAAACATTGAATAATGAATCCCGTTGAATTAGAAAAACGCAATGTGGAGCACCATTTTGCTTGATTTGTGCAGTGCGAAATCAAGACTCGGGAGATTCTATTTTTAGGATTCATTTTATAAATTAGCAGAGTCTTATGTTTTCTGGCCTCTGATTTTTTTCTTTCTTTCTAAATCTTCATAGCTACTATTTTGGATTTTAGCCTAGTCATGTAATTGAAGAATTTACTAAGAGAAATGGAATTTTGTTTTTCTTTTCCTTTTTATTTTTCAAACCAGGGTGTTGATCACTTATCATCTTATTCTACCGAAGTACTTGTATATATAGTTTGTAATAACGTAGCAAAAAAGAATCTAAAAAGTGTAAATAATAAACATAAATACATTGTTTTATATAATACATGTATATATGCTTCTAAATGATTAATTAGCTATTAAATCAAAAGGTGGTAAAGCCAATAAATAATATAATTTCTTTTTATAATTTTAATTATGTGACTATCATTAATATCTTAAATAATGTATATCTGTTACACCAAAAAAAGATTAATGTATATGTAGTGTTATTTTAAGAAAAAAACTTCACTAAATGATAAAAGCTTAGTTGGAGTATGAAAGCTGAACATGTGAGAGTAAGAATATGTATTCAATCATTTTCAATATTATTTTTAGGAAGAATTTAAAACTTAATTCTAGACTTGTTTCGAACAGAATCATTTATGGTAAGGATACATGTTTATATATATATATATATATAAAGAAGACTTCATGTTGGACTCAGAAAACGTAATCACAAGATGCTGCAAACTGCAAAGGGACTCTTTAGTTCTGGTACCCACTTTGAATGTTTTAAGGGATCCATATATGACTGAATTGCACTTAAGTGAATATTATTATGTTTTAGTTCATTTAATTAATTAAAAAATGTTGATGTTGAGTTTCGACTTTAATACCTTAACTATTTGCGAACTTGATGAGTTAAACACGATTAAGTCATCAATAAACTCAGTTGATTTACGCGCTTAACATATTTGACAAGACACGACAATCCAAATGTTAGTAACTTGACCTTTATAGAGACGGTCCAATAATCCTTGCACAATAATGTAAGTTTTCACAATAAATTTTATAAAAATTACACACTCATTTAAAATTTCAAATAAAAAGAATGATAACATTTTGTTCAGACAAAACAGAAATAATTTTAAGAGAATCGAGCAAAAAATACATAACGACGTAAAAAAATCACACTAATAATTTAAAAACAAAAGACAAAAAGTAAAAGGAAAAGAGAACAAAAGTACCTCACTTTTCTTTTCCAAAGTCTGAAAAATAAAACGTAGCTAAACGTCTAAAATGACAACACCCTAAAAGTAAAGCACCTCCAGGACCAGGTCCAAGTCAAAGTTTCCGCTTTCATTGTCATCATTCAGGATTCATCAACATCTTAAAGTCGTAACTGTCCTCGTTCTTGGAACAAGCCACAGTATTATTGTTAAAAAATGAGTGCTATTATTTTTTATTTAGTACGATTATGTTACGTAGGAGTATTATTGTTATAAATAAATTAATTCGAACACCGAAGAGTTCACACGTGGTCCCCACCAAAAGCAGATACACTTGTCATTTCCTACACGGAACAAGAAGAAACATCGTCTTAATCTACTAAACAAATAAGAAGAAACATCATCAACAAGGCCAAATAAATTTAAATTACGAAATTAAAATAAATAAAATAAAAAATTTATATTTATATATGCAATTTGGTTGTTAGCTGGGTCCAATCAAAGTCATCATTCTCAGCGGTACCGAATGCCCAACATCACACGCAAGCAAGCTCATTACACATTAGCGCGTACCTGACTACGATGCACGAAACCGTACGGTAACATCCTCGACGGTGGTTGCGGCGACGACACGCGCTTCAACCCTTTGACGGGTGAAACATTGAAACCTATGTATATGTATCTCAAACTTCATCGTTCCATCCGCGTATTCTGTTCTAATTGCTTTTATTGATAGATAAACTCGCAAAACGTCACGTCGTTTTATTTTTTATTTTTTTTTCCCAAATGGGACAGTCACCGTCTTCCGCTGTATCGTCGCCGGACCGAAATCGCCGGGAGATTTTCTTAAACACCAACCGATTCGGTTACGGCGATGCTGATATTTCCGATGACTCCATCACTGGCCGCGACTACACTTCAGATATCCCTGACGAGTGCTTGGCCGGAATCTTTCAGTTTCTGGGCTCCACCGATCGGAAAAGCTGCTCCGTCGTATGCAGGCGGTGGCTGAGAGTCGACGGCGAGAGCCGCCACCGGCTTTCCCTGAATGCTCAGGCGGAGGTTCTGGACTTCGTTCCTTCGCTGTTCGCTCGGTTCGACTCGGTCACGAAACTCGCCCTGCGATGTGACCGTAGGTCAACCAGCATAAACGACGACGCTTTGATTCTGATCTCGCTCCGTTGCAAGAGCCTCGTGAGGCTCAAGCTTCGAGGGTGCAGGGAGGTCACGGAGATCGGAATGGCGGGTCTTGGGAAGAATTGCAAGAATCTGAAGAAGCTTTCATGTGGGTCGTGCACGTTCGGAGCCAAGGGTGTTTACGCCGCCATCGATCACTGCACGGTTCTCGAAGAACTCTCTGTGAAGAGGCTTCGAGGGGTTGAAGATGGCGTCACTGAATTAATGGGTCCTGCCGTGGCTTCTTCTTCTTCTTCATCATTGAAATCTATTTGCCTTAAGGAGCTTGTTAATGGCCAAAGCTTTGCGCCACTCATAATTGGTTCGAAAAAGCTTCGAACTTTGAAGCTGATTCGATGTTTGGGCGATTGGGATATGACTCTTGAGATGGTTGGAAAGTTGAACTCTGGGTTGGTTGAAATTCATCTAGAGAAGGTTCAGGTTAGTGATATGGGTCTCGCAGGGATATCCAAGTGTTTGAGTTTGGAGACTTTGCACCTTGTGAAAACTCCAGAGTGTTCAGATTTGGGGGTTTCTGATGTTGCTGAACGCTGCAAGATGTTGAAAAAGCTTCACATTGATGGATGGAGGACTAACAGGATTGGTGATGATGGTTTGGTTTCTATTGCTAAACAGTGTCCTAATTTGCAAGAGCTTGTGTTGATTGCTATGTATCCTACTTCTTTGAGCTTAGCAGCAATTGCTTCCTCTTGCCAAAGTTTGGAAAGATTCGCTCTTTGTGGGATTACCACAGTTGGTGATGCAGAGATTGAGTGCATTGCTGCCAAATGTGTGGCACTCAAGAAGCTATGCATTAAGGGTTGCCCTGTATCTAATGTTGGGATTGCAGCTTTTGCTTCGGGTTGTCCCAATTTGGTTAAACTTAAGGTAAGAAAGTGCAGAAATGTTACTGGTGAAGTTGTGGAGTGGTTGCGTGAAAGGAGGAGTTCTTTGGCGTTTAATTTTGATCGCAGTGAAGTTGAAGCATTGGACAGCAGTGGTAGTGAGGGTGGAGCTCAGGAAAGTACGATAGCGTTTCCTCTAATAGACACTACCCAAGTAACCCTGGTTGATGATATTGATGCTCCTTCAAGTAGTAATAACAACAACAACAACAACAACCGATTCTCAATGTTGAGGACAAAGTTTGGATTTTTGGCTGGTAGGAGTTTTGTGCCCTGTGCATTAAGAAGGTGGGCAAACATTGATAATATCTCCACTGGCAACTTTTCATGATCTTTTGTAAGAATGGTATTGGATTCTTGCCATTTTCAATACATGTCTTGTGTTTAGTTGCATGTTCCCTCAAGTGTTGCTCAGTGAATTTTGTTTTACTGAGGGGATCGCTAATAGCAGTTGTTATTATGTTATCTACCTGTAGCCAATTACCTTCATTGACTGGTCCTATTCAATTTTGTTTTAATGGTTGATACCACTTTTTGGTTTTCTGTTTTGCGTGGAAGTTCCATAGTGGAGTGTTCAGAAGGAGTGGGGAACCATTTTCTTTGTCAACAGCATGTTCTTATAAATTTCGGCCTCGGCCTTATGAGACTTTTCTATTTCCTGTCCTTGTCACTGGTTTCTGTGTTATATTAATGTGAATATACTTAACAAATTTTAGCGGGTATGTATCCAATGTGATCGAGGGAACTCCTTTTTACTGAACTAATATCTAAATACCTTCATGGACTTCTTATGGATCAGAATCAAACCACAGTCTTTGTGGAAACTAATAAAAATCTTGCTAGTCAATAACGGATTTAATTGGCAACGAAATATTGGAGTCTTTAACTTCCAATGCAGAATCAAGAGGTCAGAGTTGCCTTTTTTTAACCGATAGGTAGCTGGAACCATAATGGCATAATCATAAATTAGAATTGTTAAACGTAAGTAAAACAACAAGTGTGTAAGAATTTTTAGACTTACTAGTTAACTGGCACTCCCCTCATTTTATTTATCACTACATATATTGCTAAAGAAAAGTTAATTTAATAATTATTAATACTTCTCATTAATTTCATCTTCCATGAAATTGTTAACACTTAAAGCCCATAAAGAGAAATGATTTAGAAAGGTTACATGAAAGAGGCTTGTGAACCTAACGGGTGTGTCTCAATTGGCAACATAGACCGAATAGAGTGAGGAGAAAATCTGGATTTAATTCCCAATATATACATCTTTTTTTTTTTTTTTTTTTTGGGGGGGGGGGGGGGGGGGGGGGGGGGGGGGGGGGGGGGGGGGGGGGATGAACTTTATGTGTGATTATGCCCCTACTTGGGATTTGTTCTATAGCCGGTTCAAAGAATTGAAACTTGTGAGAATACTAGGATGCCGACTCATCTCAAAAAAATAATTAAAGTTAGTATATATATATATATATATATATATATATATATATATATATATATATATATATATATATATATATATAAGGTAGGATCCTTTGACACCGGTTGTCAAATTTGAAGTTTGTCACCTCATCTGAGAGCCGTTAGATCAAAAAAGATCAACGACTCTGATTTGTAAGCATGTGACACCATTGATCTTTTTTTATCTAACAGCTCTCAGATGAGGTGTCAAATTTTAAATTTGACACTAGTGTCAAAGGATCCTACCTCTCTCTATATATATATATATATATATATATATGACAAAATAATTTCTGCAGCCGCTGCACCTACAACTAGCCAGGATCCGCATGCGAATCCTAGGATACGGCACCTTTTTTTTTTTTTTTAACGCCGTTGGACCCACTTTTCTGTGTCAGCCGTAGAGAATGTTATCCACGGCTGCTGCAGAAATAATAAGCCCTATATATATATATATAAAGAAACGGGCTTATGAAATATTTCACATTAAACTTATTTTTTTTCCTCATCTTTTTTTTTCTATCTTCTGTCCACTGTCTCAGTATGAAAGTTGCACTGTGTTATGCAACATCAGATGTATATAACCCTTACTCAAAATACCCACCCCGCAACTTTCATTTTTGACCTTTACACATTGTAAGCACCTGAGGTTATTCTCGCACTACAAGACATTAAGCTACATTTAAAAAGTGTTGTTATTTGTATAAGCAACATTTTGTCAAAGGGTTTTATACTTATAATGTTGTAGGAAAAAAAGTGTGTCCTACAACAGGTACGACGACGTCGTTTTACCCTTTCATTGAAATCCTTTTATTTTTTTCCTTTCTTCTTCCCGCTAGAAGACTAACTCAGTTCACCACCATTTCTCTCTACCATGGTCGCTCTCCACCACCACCGTGCAACACCACCACCGCGCCCTGTCACCTGCTGATCAGCACCGCCACCGACGCCCAGACGGAGTTAAAGACAAGGTTATGTGTCATTCTTCAACTCCACAACCAGAAAAAAAAAATCTTGCAAAATCCAAATGTAAGTTCGTTAGTACTGAATCTCATTTTTTCTGTTGGATGTCTTGCATTAAATTAGTTGAGGTTGAAATAAATTTTCTATTCACCACATAAGGGTTATAGTAGGGAAAGCAGGTTAGGAAGCAAACAGAACGGGTAGGGGTCTAACTTTGAAATAAACTCAATCCCCCTGCTGAACCATGGATGGTTTCCGATGAATAGAGTAGTAAATGTAAGGAACTAAACAAACTTTTATTACTATTGTCAACACTAAACCTCCAGGACGTCCTTTGCTGGAATAAAATTAGTGTTAATAATAATTTAGACACAGTAGCAATATGGACATGGGACAACATTTTGTGAGTAACTGAAATGATTTTTTATTTATTTTCAAGGGATGAACTAAATACCACTGCTAGAGAAGACCACTATTGTTGGGCATTGGAGCATTAGCAGCAAATTTACAACCCCCGAACTTGCTCTTTAATTTGGTTGATGGAGCTAAATACCACTGCTAGAGAAGACCACTATTGTTGAAGGTGAATTTCATTCCTGGTGGTTTTTAATTTTTAATTTTGTTATTGACCTTCACTAAAAGGTTATTTGTTCATATGTAAAACCGAGGAACAATAATACAAAAGTATAAAATTTACGATTTTTCATGCATCAAAATTCAAGGTAACTCTTAATCTATAATATTTTGCAGATTTTAAATTTTTCTTCATGATGGATCACTCTCAAATTGTAACTATTGAGGATATTGATATGAGTGGAAGTTTAGTATGTGCAGATGATATTGTTGATTTGGAAAAAGACACGGATGAATTTGGAGAAGATGATCTTAGTGAAATCATTGCAAACAAAGATGGTGAATGCAGGGAAGGTAATGCACACGAAATTGTGGAAGATGTTGATACTGAATTAAGCAAGACCCCAATTTTAACTAGAGTTTTTGAGACATCAGAAGATGCTTATGCTTATGCAAAAGGCAAGGGATTTGGAATACGCAAGCAATACCATAATAAGAGTACAATTACAAAACAAATATATAGGTGGAATTATGTTTGCTCGAAGCAAGGTGTCAAGAGACTACATGATAAAAGTGCTGATGTTGATAATGTCAAAAGGCAAAGGGATACAAGGACTAATTGTTTGGCAATGTTACAAGTAAAGTTGGTGGATGGCCTATGGAAAGTGGAGAAATTCAATGATATACACAATCATCCATTGATTAACATTCCAACAAAGGTGAAGAAGTTTCTTTCTCAGAATGAATTGAGACACTCGAATTTGACAAAATCTGTTGTTTCTAAGCTATATCAAGAGGGTTTAACATCTTCGAAAATCTCAAAGGTTGTGAGCGCTATGAACAAAGAGGTTAATCTTACTCCCGTTCAAATCAATAGTATTATATCTAGCCAGCGAAAGAATAATGTGGGGCGAGAATGTCAGGGCATCATCAAACACTTTCAAAAGAAGTCCATGGTTGATGGAGCTTTTTATTTTGATATGGATTTGGCAGAAGATGGAACATTAAGAAGCGTATTCTGGGCAGATGGTAGGTCAAGAACTGCATATGCTCATTTTGGTGAAGTCCTTGTCTTTGATGTGACTTACAAAACAAACAAGTTCAGGTTTCCTTTTGCTCCTTTTGTGGGGGTTAATCACCATGGGCAAACAATTTTATTTGCTGCCGCTTTGTTAGAAGATGAAACGGAGGCAACATTTACGTGGTTGTTTGAACAATTTCGGACATGTATGTTTGACAAGTCTCATGTTGCTATTATCACTGATCAAGATAAAGCTATGGGAAAAGCAATAGCTAAGATATTTCCAGGAGCACGACATCGTTTTTGTGCTTGGCATATAAAGAAACATGTTATGGAGCATAGTCAAGCACTGTGCGCACAATTTAAGGATAGTTTTGATGTTGACTTCCGTGCATGGTATAAAAGTTGAAACATTGATGAGTTTGAAGGCAAATGGGAAGTATTGAGAACTAAATTTGATATTAAAACAGGTAGTTGGTTGGCTAACATGTATGCTTCACGTCATCATTGGGCAAAAGCATACTTGAAAGATATATTTTTTGCCGGAATGACCACAAGTGGCCGAAGTGAGAGCATTAATGCATTTTTTGATGGATATGTCAACTCTAACACAATGTTAAATGATTTTGTTATCCAGTATGACAAAGCAATCAAATCTAGGAGGGATGCAAAGGAAGATGAAGATTTCAAAACTAGAAATACTAAAGCAGTTTTGGAGACTAATCATCCTATTGAAGCAATAGCTGGAGAACAGTACACAAGAAAATTATTTGAAATTTTCAAGAAGGAGTGGAAGGCGGCCATACCTGATTATTTTCATGAAAAGATTGCAACAGAGAAAAACCTTATCACGTACCGGGTGGGGTCTCCTGAAGTTGAAAAAGAATGGTTAGCAGTTGTCAAGTACCATTTGACAGAATGCTTCACAGCTCAATGTTCGTGTGCAAAGTTTGAGACTATGGGAATTTTGTGTAAACATATTCTATACATTATGAAGAAGAAACAAATAATGACCCTTCCCGAAAAATATATCTTGTCTAGATGGACTATGAATGCAAGCTATAAGGCTGAAAATCTTGTATCCATTCATGATGAAACAAATCCTAATGAAATTAATGCATTGTATTTGTGGTCAATTCATTCGAAGTGCACTATGGCTATTTCTGAAGCAAGAGATTCTATTTTTGAGATTAAAATGTTTGATGCTATGGTTGCTGAATTTCTGCAACGACAGTTGGAAAGAAAAAGAAAAAGAGGTGAAGATGAACTAATTACCCAAATGATTCCACAAGCTTCACTCATTAATGATGTGCGTGATCCCACTCAACCAATCAAAACCAAAGGGCATCCAAAGGTTGCTTCACGAATAAAATCAAGCATGGAGTTGTCGACTAAACAACAAAAAAACTTGTAGTTATTGTCAAGGGAAGGGTCATAACAAAACAAGTTGTCAGATGCTAAAGGTACTTGTTTTTAAATTTTCTATTTGTGTTTGTGATTTTCTCTATAAACTTGATGAAAAATTTGTGAAGTTTCATTTGTAGATGGAAGTTTGAAGAGAGAAGCAAAAAGAATAGTAGCGATTGCACATATTTTCATGGTTTTATTTTGGTAAGAGCGTATTTTTGATGACTTCATTTTGGTAAGAGCATATTTTTGATGACTTCAACATAATACTTGCTTATCCCTTATATTTTTAACTTGAACATTTCAATGTATGTTTGTACTTAAATACTTACTACTTTTTTACTTATTTTTCAGGAAATATTTTGGGGCACTGCTGCTTTCATTTGTATATGGACAAGTTAATTCAAGAATTTCACAATCTTTTTGTAGGGCATTATTGATTGGCGAAGTAAATACCAGAAGCACTGTGGGTTTCAAATGTATATGGATAAGTTTTTTATGTATATCAATCACTGTGATCAAGTGTAAAGTGATATTAGTTTTTTGTGACTTAGAATAGATTTGATAATCAAATGTAAAGTCAACTGCTGATTTTTGTTTTGTACAAAAGAACTTCAATGCATATAGCAAGTGTAATATACCAAAGTTAGAAATGAATGGAGTTGCTCAAATTATAATTGCTCAAACTGAAATTGTTATCAATTATGCCCAAAATGAGCAATAGTGTAATACAATTACAAAAGTCATTATACATATCTAGCCCAAAAAAGGAATTAAATTATTACAAGTTTCTAAATCATCTATGAAAACTTTGCTTGATGATCCAGATTTGGCAATCCTTATCCACTGCTCTTTAGTCAAGTAAAACCATGCTGCAATTCTTCTCATGATCAAGCCATACATTAGAAATCAGTTGCTGCAATTCTTCTCATGATCAAGCCATACACTAGAAATCAGCAGGATGTGTGTTTGTATATTCTCAACTGCAGTATGTGTGTTCTGCAATTCTTCTGTCAATTGCACCACAACAATTAGAAAGGCCCTGTATATTCTCAATTGCAGTGTTTGTCTACTTCTTTGTAGATTTGCTCGACAGAGACTGGGTATATGTAGTTCTCTGGGTGTCAAAATGGAGGGCACAAAAAGCAGTATGAGAATAGCAGTAATGTTAATAGGTACTTGTTTTAATTAGATATGTGTCATCCAGATATGTGTGAAAAAAAGTATGGCAAGAAGAAAAAAGAAAAGAGACATCATAAACTTAAGAAACAGGGCTGAAGTTCACAGGTTAATAATTTTTTTTAAATTTTAACTCAATTTTCCATTCAAGTGCTATATGTGAAAACTTAAAAGATAATTTATTGTTTCTCCAATCCTCCAATCCAAGTCTTAAAAAGTTTTAACTCTTGGCAAGTCAACTTTCTCAATTGTAAGGAACAAAAAACGTAAATCAACCCATTCTATTTCTGTTAAACTTCTCGTCAACTACCAAAGGAATTTCGTAACAAGACACAAAATAGTTTCTGTTTCATATCCTTTTCTTATTTCTTTTCCTTCTTTTTTTTCCTGCAACATTATAGATATAACCATATAACAACAATAGTAATACAATATCATCGATAAATGCTTTACAAATTACAGGTATCTTAGGACATCCATTCCAACAAGGCTTGGCAGGGAGCCCGACAGTTTATTATTGGACAAGTACCTGAAATGCATAAAATTTAAACCAACAAAGTTCACTTTTCTAGAAACTGTATACATATAAAAAAAATTAAATGTTGTTTGGCATGTCCTTTATGTATGCTTACAGCTCTTGAATATTTGTAAGATTGTTGATGTTTGAAGGCACAGATCCACTTAATGAATAGTATATTAATGCCAAAAGCAAAAATCATTCAAAAGAAATATATATTCATGAATTTGTTTGAGGATTAATCTAGACACTCACAGCACCTCCACACTCTGTAGGGATCTAATTGTAGACGAAATGTTGCCAGTGAGTTGATTGCTTTCCAAAAGCCTGCCCAAATTCTTTTTCAGTTTGACAGGTATATATTTTAACTTGGAAGGCTGAAACAATGAAGATACTCTTATTTAAAAGATAATATATATATAGGTTACAAAATAAAGCTAATAATTCAGCAATGTGTTTGTGCATCATTGAGAAAGGGACCCAAATGATAAGTAAGAAAGACCCAGCAGAAAAACAAAGAAAAAATAAGTGATTCTACAGAAAAAAACATGCTAACTCGTGAGCTTGTTAGATACTTAAATGGATTCTGGTACATACTCAACCAACCATGTTTGGAAAAAAAATTGGAAAGTCAATAGTTTCTCAAGAGAGCTAACATACAAATGCTTCACATGGTGTAACTTATCAAGACCTGAGATGCTGCCATTAGATATTGGCCCTTAAAGCTGGTTGTTAGCTAAATCTAACCATTAGAGTTATGACAGATTTCCAATAGAACGTGGAATTTGTCCACTAAAGCTATTGGAATTTATAGATATGCAATTTAAAGTAAATGATTCAGACTATGATGTAAGAAAAATCATTAAATTACAAAAACTAAAGACATGTTAGATATATGGCAGAATCCTCTTGTAGAAATTTTGAATAAACATGAAACCATCATTCAGAGAATTTTCAGTTATAACAACTAAAAAACCTTTTCAGATATTTGCACTAGATAAAAAAGTTAAAAATCCTTATAAGAAGAGAAGCTCCTGCATGTATTCAATTTTGACTAGAATCAGACCATTGAAGCTACAACCAACAAGAATTCTGAAAGCAAATAAGAAAGCATTTTCTGCTAGTGTTGTAAATTTGCTGCATTTGTGAATTTACAACCCTAGTTTATTTTTTCTGGTTGTGGAGATGAAGAATGACAAATAACCTTGTCTTTAACTACATTTGGGCGTCGTGGCGGTGCTGCACACGGCGATACGGCGGTGACAGGGCACAGTGGTGGTGGAGCGCGACCATAGCAGGGTGAAACAGTGGTGAACTTGGTTACTCTTCTAGCAGGAAGAAGAAAGGAAAAAAACAAAAGGATTTCAATGAAAGGGTAAAACGACGTCGTAGTACTTGTTGTAGGACACACTTTTTTTTCCTACAACATTATAAGTATAAAACCCTTTGTCAAATGATGTATAAAGTTCATGTTACTAAAAAGTTTTGATAACACTTTATCATATCCCTATTAATATTTTAAAAATACTGCTAATTATCTACTAAAAAATATTGCCAATTTACATTTTTTTGTAACATTTTAAAAAATTGCTAATTTACCTTTTTTATGACTTTTTAAAAATATTATTATTTGTTTTTTTTGGCAACATCTAAAAAATGTAGTTATTGTTATAAAAAATATATAGTTATTTACTTTTTTGTAACATTTTTTTTAAAACTATTATTTAATCATATGTCATTTTGTTATCAAAGATTTTGTTATAAATTTGTAAAAAGTGAGACTAAAAATAGGTTATCTATGTACAAATTTAAATTAATTTATAAATTTAATTAAAATATTCTTAAAGGGGAGATTTTTTTTTAAAGTGACTTTTTCTTATAATGTAAACAAATCAAATATGCTACTAGTACTATCTAGTAGTTATATGTTTAAGATTTCGAAGGACAAGTAGCTATCTATGGACTACGATCTACCTTTTTTATCTAAAAAAAATAATTTTTTTGAAATACTATCACTACACATAAATACAATAATAAAAAAAAATTCATTATAAATCAATGTTAAGCAATTTATTATTTAAATTTTTTTGTATGATCTCTAAAAGTCATCTGAGTCACAATTAATTTGGAGCAAAGCCAAATAAACCACTAACTGTCAAATTCTCAAATACCTGATTAAAATTAAGGGTTTTCTTTTTATATATATAAATAACTTATTTACATTGAGTATAAAATGATGTCGTTTTGAGACGAAATATCAAGGTATTTTTGTAATTATAATTTATTTTAAGATTATAATAATCTTTTTCATTATAATTTTTTAATTTTTTAACAAAAAACGACGTCGTTTTAGAAATAAATATAGATAATTTATCTATAATCCCTTTAGAAACATTAAAGCCTAAAATTAATTATTAATACAATAGTAATTGGGAAAAGGAAAAAGAAAAAGAAAAAGGGAGAAAGAAACCTCAGCAAACAAACAAACAAACAGTACTTGAAAACCCTAGAAGCTGTTCCACAAGGGTTTTGCAAGCAGTTTCGTTCCTTCTCAGAGCAACCCATTATGGACGAGAAGATAGACACTGCAGACAAAAAGGTAAGTTCCTTCGCCCGCTATGATTTAAAGAAAAAGAGAGAGATAGATTATGATACTTATAGGTGCATACAGCTTCTGGTTTAGATGGGTGAAACCTCGTACATATGTTTGTTAGTTTTTTTTTGTTTTCCAATGATAACTGGTGCTTCCGTGTGGGTAGGTGCTGGTTGATATTGTAAAATTGTCACAGAAAAGAGGCTTGAAGGGTAAACAGGGAGACTGGAAAGAATTCTTGAACAGTTATGATAAAAAGTTTGGGGCAGGTTTGAGTGATCCAGCAAAGAGGTCCCATGAGATTTTGGCTGCATTTCTAAAGACATTCTCGAAGGAAGATGATTTGAAGGTAAACAACTTTTCAATGCCCTCTAATTATTTATGTCCTTATTTTTACCCCTTCTTCTGGTAAGAGGGGCAGTTAATAGCTTACTTGATATGAGTTTAATCCATTTCACCCTGAGCTCAGTTTTTTGCTAATATCATGCGGCATCATTCAAATCAAGACACACTCGAGCAACTGAAAGATAAATCTCATGATTCCCCTGAGCAGGTATGTTTTCATAATGATCATTCAGCTAGAAATCAGGCTAGATTTCACAGTTAAACCTTCTTTTGCTAGATTGTACTACTACTGAAGTACTAATAATTAATAATGCTATTGTACTTGACATGCTAGATTGATTTAAAGCAATTGAGTAATGACTCAAATATTGAATAGCATTTTGTTTTCACTTCACAAGTTTTCGATGGGGTACTTAATTTCCTCCCCCCCAAAAGTCATACTCATTGCATGTGTTTTTGGCTTTCTGCCAACCTTTTACTATTGTTTCCTTAAGTGATTCAACATTTGTATCAAATTTCATATGGGCAGTCACTGTTTTAATTACTATTTACATATTCCTTATGCATTATTTTTAAAATTATTAGTTACATAGTTATAATTTTATGATTGTTGCTTTTGTGATTTATATTATCACCTAAATCATCAAGCCATTTTGAAGTTGGCTCATGAATGGAATATGTCTTGTTGCTGTAATCAAATCTGAATGTAGAACCTAAAATTCAAGATGCTGCAAATGATAATGGCATAATGCATAATCTCTGAGAATCAGCAAAGACATCTTCTGATATTGATTTATGCTGTCAATTATTCTTTATTCTTTTTACTGTGTTTTGTAATTGATGATGGAATTTACATGATTTTCAAATCAGTTAGTAAAATTCTTAATTAATGGTGTTAATTTCAATTATGCCTTCTACATTTATTGATGATTCTACTATGATTTGTCACCTTCTGATGTTGGCAGCGCAGAGGCTAGTCCAAGTTACTCTCCAGCACCCATTATATCCATTGGATTATTCTTCATCAATTGATGAGGTTTGTTGTGACCATCTGTACGACTTTCTGGTCAACCTATGTGCATTCAAAATACTAATTAGCTGTTGTTGAATGTGTGCTCTGCCTAAACACGAACTGTTCTGCATGTGAAATCATACATAAATATTTGTATTGGTCTTTCTATCCTGGTTTTGCTGATGATGCCATCAAAGAAGTTCCTTGAGAAATTTAGGGTAAAACATTTTTTCCATAATTTAACAAAATGCTTCAGATCATAACTCAATGAAGAAAGTTGACCTTAAAAAAATCATGGTCTTATTTCTTTAATATTTGCATTCTGGATTGCCATATTTGATTGTTGAAATATGAAGCTCATGGCAATGATTGATATTTTACTGCTCATTTTCATTGCTTGAAAATTGGAAAAAAAAAATTGTTTCAAAGGGTTGAAACTTTTTGTTCACATGGATGCATTAACTTGTCAATATTTGATTGATTTAAATACGCTTTTGCTAACGTTTTGAATGAATAGTTGCATATGGATAACAAGAAGCCTGAAGAAATGTGCAATAAAATGTCTGAAACTCTTTAATATGCACCTTTTAGATGGAAATGCATATATTCAAGCCCCTTACATTAATTTGAGATACCTGATAAATTTCCCAGAAATATTTTTTGGTGCTCTTTCTAAGTTTATTGTGTGTGACTGTGTAGGACATGAACTGAATTTTATCTTTGATATATAATATATTACTGGGATTGACCTTGATTTCAAACTATATCATATTTGAAATTAAGATTTTTAATATCCTTAAGCCTTTTTACCAATTGATTTGCTTCAGTTTATAAACATATGTGTTCTGTGAGTTCTTAGTAATACAGGGCAATTACTTATCTTTATATATGTTGCTTTTTTGGTGTGGAAATGAAGGGGTGGGTAATTATAAACCTTAAAAAGAAACCCAAGGTGATGAAGTGTACTGCAATGGTTGCTGTTGATTGTGAAATGGTTCTCTGTGAAGATGGAACTGAAGCATTAGTCAAAGTCTGTGTGGTAGACCACAATTTAGAGGTAATTTATGCATGTTCTTCCTTTTACTTGGTGCCTTCCCCTCCGGGAAAAAAAATGTTGAGGCTCCGCATAATTGTATTAAAATGATTTCTCCTTTTTAGGCTGTAGATTATTGGTGTATCTGTAGTATAATACTTCAAGTTGTATAAAATATAGATGATTATTTCTTTCTCACTTTGTTTTCTGGTGTATGGTTGTTGGCTGCCAGCTCATCATTGAGTTTCTCCCTTGTATTCCATTGTATGGCTATTAGGCTGCCAGCTCATCATTTAGTGGTCATCAGCTATATATATATAGAGCTGATAACATTTCTCTTGTAATTGATTTCAAAACTCAATACAAATATGATTCTTTCTCAGATCTCTGTCTCTACTTTCTCTATCTCCTTGAGTTTCTCTTCAATGGTGGAAACCTAATATGGTATCAGAGCTCTTTCGAAGGGCCTGATCCATACATAGCTCACAACAATGTCTTCCGCTTCAAACTCCGAAGTAAGTGCTACTCTAGCAAGAAAATCTACTTCTAGATCTACTCCTATGGAACCTAAAAATCCTTCTGCACTGTTCAACTTCCAAGTTTCTGCGAAGTTAACAAAGTATAACTACCTCTTCTGGAACCAGATTGTTGAACCGATCATAACCTCACACCAATTGCAATGTTTTTTGGTGAACCCTAAGATTCCCTTGAAGTTCGACTCCGATGAAGATTGAGAGAGCAACACACTCAGTTCAGCCTACACTGAATGGTTAATGCAAGATCAGATGCTTCTGACTTGGCTGTGTCTACCGTTTCAGAACCAGTAGTGAACGACATTCTTCCTAGCAAGCACTCATTTGAAGCATGGGAGAATATTCACAAGTTATTTCATGGTGTAATGAAGGCACGAGCTAGGCAACTCAGATTTGAGTTAAAAACGATGAAGAAAAGATCTAAAACCGCGAAAGAGTACTTTGCGAGGATCAAAACGATTTGCGACTCACTCAAATCCATTGGAAATCCAGTTTCTGTTGAACAACACACAAAATCGATACTTGAAGGATTAACTTCTGACTATAACTCGTTCGTAATGATGATTCATGGTCAAGACAAGGCCTACTCAGTCGCAGATCTGGGAATATAACTCATGGCTTTCAAACAACTTCTAATCAAACAAAACGAGCATCAATACACCTTTCCAGCGACTCCAGCAACCACAGAAGATTGAATCTGATGAAGATGACTCTGTTTCTGAAACCAGAAAACAAGTTGAACAGAGGAACGTGATTTCAAGCGTTTCAGCTCTTCAAATGATCAAAACAGAGGAAGAACAACATTCATTGTCAGCTCTGCTACAAGTTTGGACATGACGTCAGATACTGCTGTCATAGGTTTGAAGAGAACTTCATCCACCACCACCACAAAACACATCATATCCACAATTTTTTGTTCAACAACAGTCTCAACCAGTGAGGTCCTATCAATATAACTGACCTCAAAGCCAACCACAAGCCTATGTTACTACTCAATCTACAGTTCCTTCCACGTCAAACTCAATTCCATTTGTTGAATGGCTTCCTGACTTTGGAGCATCAAACCATGTCACTGGAACACCACAGAACATGATGCAATCTCAGCATCTCAGTGGTACAGACCACATTTTCGTTGGAAATGGCCAAGGTTTGCCTATAACAGCTATTGTTTCTTCATATTTTATATCTTCGTTTCACTCTAACTCTTGTTTGCATCTTAAAAAATTACTCCTAGTTCCTGCCATCACCAAAAATCTTATCAGTGTCAGTAAGTTTGCTAAGGATAATTCTGTATATTTTGAATTCCATTATGATGTTTGTTTTGTGAAATGTCAGGATTCCCTTAAAATTCTCCTTCAAGGAGCAGTTGGTACTGATGGTTTATATCATTTCCCAGACTTCAAGCTTGTCAACATTCCTGATTCAGTTACAAGTCAAAATTATTCGAGTTAATCCCTGCCTGCTGTTACAAGCAATTCAGCCAATCTTGTTAGTTCTAGTGTCAATATTAATACTCAATGTCTTAGTACCTCTGTTGATACTGTCGATAGTGAATGTATTCCATCTAAATCCATGTATTCTTTGTGGCACTGTCGCTTAGGACACCCACATCTAGAGTCTCTTTAAGGCTGTACTCAAAAATTGTAATATACATATTAGCAATAAAATGGTTGATTTTTGTTCTGCTTGTTGTTGTGCAAAATCTCATAGACAACCTTCTATGTCATTTGGTACTGAATATAAGACACCATTTAACCTTGTTTACCGTGACCTGTGGGGTCCTTCACCCTTTAAATCAACACTTAGCAATTCTTACTATATTTCATTTGTTGATGCTCACACTCATTACACATGGCTCTACCCCATAAAAGAAAAATCAGATGCCATTAATATCTTAAAACAGTTTCATACCATGGTGACAAATCAATTCCAGCTACATTTGAAAGCACTCCAAACAGACTGGGGTGGAGAGTTTAGAATTTTCACTCAAAATCTTAACTCTCATGGCGTAGCCCGTCGAGTGACTTGTCCATACACACCCCATCAAAATGGTGTTATGGAAAGAAAGCATCGTCATGTTGTGGAAACTGGTCTTGCACTTCTAGCCCATTCTAAACTCCCAATGCAGTTTTGGGATTATGCATTCACCATAGCCACTTATTTAATAAACAGACTCCCTTCATCTACAATAAACTCTGAAATCCCTCACTTTAAACTCTGCAAACAGCAGCCTGACTACAAATTCCTCAGAACCTTTGGTTGTGCATGCTTTCCCTTTCTTAGATCATATAACAAACACAAACTTGAGTTTAGATCAAGAGAATGCATATTCTTGGGATATTCCTCCAATCACAGGGTTACCTTTGCTTAAGCCCAGAAAATAGAATCTTTATATCGAAAGATGTGTTGTTCAATGAGTATAGATTCCCTTATGAAGAATGGCTTGCCAGCAAGACTAGTTCCACTCCACAAATGTCTCCTTCTCCTTCATTGCCTTTGTCCATTCAGTCCATTCTGTCTACTACAATTCCTCACACTGCTATGTCACCCACAACAACATTACATACTGATATGACCACAGCTCCTCAAACTACTGACATTCCACATGTTTCCCATGCTCGTTTGCCTACATCTGTCAGTTCTCAAGTCAGATCTGTCTCTGCCAGTGGTGACCATCAATTTATTGACTCCTCAAAGTTTGTCAGCCCCTCTACATCTCAGTCTTCATCAACCTCTTGCAGTCCTACTCCTAGTCCAGAGTCATCTCACTCTGAATATGCACCCTCAAGTTCCTTAAGCTCACCCTCTCCTTCACATTCTGTTGCCACAAGATCAAAATCCTTAGCCAGAAATCTTGTTCTACTCACCCACTCTGAGCCCAACTCTGTTAAGCAGGCTTTGAACAATCCTCATTGGCTGAAAGCTATGGAGTAAGAATTTGCAGCCTTGCAGACAAATCACACTTGGTCCCTTGTCCCTTTACCTCATGGTAGGAAGGCTATTGGGTGTAAATGGGTGTTTAAAATAAAAGAAAACCCTGATGGCAGTGTAAATAAATACAAGGCTTGGTTGGTGGCTAAGGGATTCCATCAAAGACCAGGTTTTAATTATAATGAAACCTTCTCTCCAGTCATCAAACCAGTGACAGCTCGACCAAACTTAGCTGTTGCACTCACTTATGGTTGGCCTTTGAAGCAACTTGACATTAATAATACCTTTTTAAATGGAGATCTAGAAGAGGAAGTGTATATGGTACAACCCACTGGTTTTGAAACTGAGAACAAGTCCTTAGTATGTAAATTGCACAAGTCTCTCTATGGTCTAAAACAAGCTCCAAGAGCTTGGTTTGACAAACTAAAAGCATTTGTTCTGTCTCTTGGGTTACAAGCCAGCAGGTGTGACCCTTCTTTGTTCATCTATAAGGCTGGCAACATGGGAATTTTTATGCTAGTATATGTTGATGACATTATTCTTACAGGAAATAATGCTTCTTTCATTTACAAGTTTATTTCACAGCTCAATTCTTGCTTTGCCTTAAAAGATCTTGGAAACTTAGATTATTTTCTTGGAATTGAGGTTAAAAGACACTCATCTGGCTCCCTAGTTCTCAATCAGGCCAAGTATATCAAGGACCTTCTCTCTCTCGGGTCAACATGCTTGAGGCAAAGTCATTCTCTACCCCTATGGCATCCAGTTGTAAACTGTCCAAATATGGCTCCAATACTGTTGAAGATGCTCATTTATATCGATCAGTGGTGGGAGCCCTACAGTATGTGACCATAACCAGACCAGAAATCTCATTCTCTGTCAATGAAGTGTGTCAATTTATGAGCCAGCCTCTAGTGGAGTATTGGAAAGCTGTCAAACGCATCTTAAGATATCTTCAAGGCACCTCACACTTTGGCCTTCACTTCCAATCAGTCAAATCTGTCACTGTTTCATTTCCTCTCACAACATTTTGTGATGCTGACTGGGGTGGTGATCCTGATGACCGCAGATCCACCTCAGGAGCTTGCATCTTTCTTGGTCCTAATCTGATCTCTTGGTGGTCCAAAAAGCAGTCCCTTGTGGCCAGGTCCACTGCTGAAGCATGGCCTTTGTGCAGAAATATTGTGGATTAAATCTCTCTTTCAAGAGCTGCAGATGTCCCTGTCCATTCCTCAAATTCCGTGTGATAATCTCAGTGCAGTTGCCATTGCTCATAACCCCATCTTACATGCTCACTCCAAGCATCTTGAATTGGACTTACATTTCCTTCGTGAGAAAATTGTAGCAAAAGATATTCAGTGTTAAATATTCCTGCTCCTGCTCAGCTGGCTGATATCTTTATCAAACCGTTGCCTCAGTCTTCTTTCACCGATTTCAGAAACAAGCTCAGAGTGTTGAACATTGCACAACAACCTCAACCCTGCTGAGCTTGTGGGGGAGTATTAGTGTATCTGTAGTAGAATACTTCAAGTTGTATAAAATATAGATGATTATTTCTTTCTCTCTTTGTTTTCTGGTGTATGGTTGTTAGGCTGCCAGCTCATCATTGAGTTTCTCCCTTGTATTCCATTGTATGGCTATTAGGCTGCCAGCTCATCATTTAGTGGTCATCAGCTATATATATATAGAGCTGATAACATTTCTCTTGTAATTGATTTCAAAACTCAATACAAATATGATTCTTTCTCAGATCTCTCTCTCTCTCTACTTTCTCTATCTCCTTGAGTTTCTCTTCAATGGTGGAAACCTAATATAGATAAATAATTTTCATAACTTTTCAGGTCAAACTAAATGAACTTGTAAAACCCGACAAAGCAATTGCAGACTACAGAACAGAAATTACTGGTGTCTCTTCTCAAGATCTAGAGCCAGTGTCATGCTCCTTGGCCGATATACAGGTATTTTGTGGTTCACTTGATGGTTTTCCTGTATCATCCTCTGAAATGCATAATGAAGATATGTGTTGCCCTTTCATAGAAATCCATGAAGAAGTTGTTGTCAAATGGAACCATATTAGTGGGACACAGTTTACATAACGATCTACGTGGTAAGTGTCAAACATTTTTCTTTGTTTGGCTATGTTCTTGAACCTACTGTTAGTTTTAGAGTAAATGAAGGGGATCACTTTTGTTGAAATTATTTTTCTTGGTTCTATTTTATTTACTATTGCTTTCATTTGCAGTGCTGAAGCTTGATCATGTTAGAGTGGTTGACACTTCATATATCTTCCAATCCACAGATGGATCTATTCACAGGAGACCTTCTTTGAATAGTTTATGTCAGGCAAGTATCAAATTGTTACACCAAAAGATTTAGGTTTCGTATTGCTTGTCATCTAATATATTAAGGGCATGTTTGGTGCATAGTATAGGATAATGCCTGATAGTATAAGACCGGATAGTATAAGACCTGATTGTATAAGACCTGATTAAATTTTAATACTATCCAGCGTTTGGTATGATATTGTATAAGATAATATCTTTCAATATTTTTAAAATTAATATATTAAAAAAATTTATTTTTAATATATAAATATTGAAATGATATATTAGTTCTTGGGAATTGTACTTGTAAGCAATATTAATACATCAACCCCTTATCAGGCCTAATCCACCACTCCTAGGCCGGATTAAGTTATACATCATTTGATGTATAAAAGGGTCCTGCTGTATAAGCTTATACTATACGATGGTCACACCAAACAACTGAAAATGTCATAACGTATAGTATAAGCTTATACTATCAGGCCTTATACATCACACCAAACAGACCCTAAGCATTATTGAGACCAGATAGTCCCTCCTTTGGAGGAATTCCCTTAGACACACCTGTTATTTTGAATGTGAAGCCTCTTTCTTGTGCACTTGTGCTTGTCTATGTTTTGGAATTCAAGATATTGCACCACATGAACTCACATAAGCACATTATGGCCAAAAAAATGAGCAAATATTGGTCTTAGATTCATAGTTCTATCACCAATTGTTGACAGGCTGTGTTAGGCTATGAAGTTCGGGAAAATGGTGCTCCACATAATTGTCTAGATGATGCATGTGCAGCAATGAAACTTGCTCTTGCAAAGATCAAGCACGGTGTTGATACAGCTCTTCCGTTGGTTCAGGAGCATGTAAGCTGACACATACATATCTCCAATACTACATTGTTGTGCTCATGGTGGTTGGTACTGATAACTATTACTATTGCTGTTCTGTCATTTTAGGTTTCAGAAATTGAGATGGCGAAGCTTCTCCTTCACAGAATACCAACAACGGTGAACAGTAAAACTCTACATGAAGTTGTTCCTGGAGACTTCACATTAGAACTGAAGGTAGAGTATGACCAATAAGTATCTAAACATTTTGATGAAAAGGCTCATTAGTGATTATCAGAATTGCATGAATGTCTTTAATTTAACGACATTTAGGTTCATCATATGGTACTGTTGTTGGCATTCTGCCTCTGGATTATGTTCCTCATGTGAGTTTTGACGCATTGTAAAATTTGTTGCAGCCTTCCAGGAAAGGTCAAGGAGAAAAATATTCTGCCTTAGCTATCTTTAAGAACCCACAAGAGGCAAATGATGCCTATGAAAACGTCCAAGGCAGCCAATTAAAGGTACATATATAATATAACAATGTCCAATGATGCTAGTTGATATCATTAATTTTGCTGCTTGTGGTTATCTGAGGGAAAGAAATGCTCAACTGTGGTTTCCATTCTCTACTATAATACCTGAATCCATTTGTTCCAATAGAAATATTTTAAGGTTAGACATATATTTAATTCTCCTCCCAAGATCTGACGGATCAAATAACACATCCTTTAGTGCTTGTTCAATAAAATGAAGATAATTTTCTGGACAACTCTTGGTATATTGATATTGGAGTTGTATATCACTGAAGCATATTTGTTCATACTAGTGATATATATATTACTTTATGTTAGGATTCATATGGACGTCCACAGAAACTTGTCACATTTCAGCTAAGTACAGGCATGATGGCCACTCTATTTGTTCGGAAAATGGCAACAGATGAACCCCATGATCTGATTCCATGTAAGAGAGCTTCAGAATCGAATGAGGTTGTTGAAGTTTCCAAGAAAGCAAAGACGGATCCTAAAATTGAAGAGGATGCCCTGACAGGCTCCACTAAGTGTGACACTGACACCCACTTGAATGAGATCGAAGCACTGAATCAACGATTGAAGCAAAGTGATTTGGAGATTGAATCATTGAGAGAACAGTTGAGACAAAAGGATTTTGAAATCTCCATGCTGCATAAAATGGTATCCTCATTAAGAAAGCGAACAAACAAAACCTAGTAGCCATGGCATTGGAATGGTGTTGGATTGTTTGATCAATTAATTGAAGGACATGCTCCCCCTCTGGTGATTCTTATTAAGTTTTGGCAATTTCTTACAAAATGTATGGGAGAAACTTAGAGCATTGATGCATTGTGAACTGCTGAATTTGGGTTGCAAAACTGTTCTATTTTGCAAATTCAAATTTGGAACTAAAATCCATCCCCCCCCCCCACCGAGGGATTAGTGACATTAATCATTATTGCAATTTTGTGTTCGATGGGATTATGTATGTGGTACTATGTTATTGTTTGAAACATTTCTTTTAATATTTGATTAAGTTTATATTTGATTAACATATTATGGAATTGGGCTTGTTTGATAATGTAGCTTTTTGGGGTATGGCAGTTCTGGGATAAGTTTACTCGTGCATTTTAAAAGCTATGTTTTGACGAAAGACGTCCGGGATGCTTGCAGGTTTGATGTGATTGTTAAAATTTTAAGATATGATTTCTTTTTTAAACTTCTTGAGTTTTACTTTTATCCTTTTCTAGTTCAAATCTAAATTCGTTGAAGTTCATTTAATATATATATATATATATATATATATATATATATATATATATATATATGGCAAAATGATTTGTAATGTGACTGCATATAAGTATTGGTGCAGTCACCTAAAAATTAAAGGAAGGTCGCGTTCAAAATTAATTATAAAAAATGAAAATATTATATATATTTTTACTTTTATATGGATATGATTTTTTATATTTAATATTTATTTTTGTTTTTGTATGGTTATAATTTTTCATATTTAATATTTTTACATTATAAAATGACGTTTTATATATATTTTTTCTATTTTTAATGTCGGTTTAAAAAATGGCGCTCATTCTCAGAATTTTCATCATCTGCAAATTAAAAAAAATAAAAATCGAAGCATGTGCTGTCAAGTACAAATTCAGTAGAGGTATTTTATTTTTTATTTTTTTACAGCCATAATTTATATTTCTCCTTTTCCAACTATGCAAAACTCAAAATCTATGTGATTTTAGTTCGCTCAACAACTGATGGGTCGAAATTCCAACGGTATGTATGTCCATTGATCTACAAAATTATTTGAAAATAAATTTCCATTTTCCAGTATCACCAAAATTCACATGACATGAACTCATCTCCCTACCGTTATGATCAAATATTGTAATGATGGCCTAACCTAGTAAGGACATTTGTGAAGCCGAAACCCTCTTAGCATGCACCTTTGAAAGTCCAAAAGTAAGACACTTTGATTTCGGGACATGTTGACAAAAATTCATCTTTTACCTTAGCAAGGCTGAACTTCTAGATTGAAGCATGCATGTTAAAGTCCTTTCAAAGTATTTGACATACCTCTAAAAAAATTACAGAAACCATTGATCTTAGAAGAATCAAGAAGATTACATCTAAACAAAATTGTTCATAATTTGGTCAATGGTGTTCATACACCGGGTATATCTTGTAAGTTCTAACATATATTGAAATGTGGAATATAATAGATCATAAATAGCTTCTGCTATTGTTTTTCTTGTTATTTTGAATGGTTGCTGTAATTTTGATGTGTAAAACTTTTATGAGCCTTCCAAACTCTTCTCTATAGTCCAGATGGTGTGCAACCCTTATGTAGAGTGAGCTCAGGGACTTGTGAAGTTGAATATGCACTCTTTTATAGACTCTTTCATCATAGAGTCTGTTCAAGTGTGCACTAAAGATGAACTCAATTGATGGCAGACCAAAAACAAAATTTAGTTGATGATTGCAGACCAAAATCAAAAACGGGTGAGGTAGGTTCTCCATTATCAGAAGTGAACAACATAGGTGGACCACGTAAGGTCACACCACTAACCACTAGTATTTTTACAAACATATCTTACATGACCCGTGTTCATAAATGTTAAGTGATTCAAATGTGAAACAACATTGACATAGAAGACCAGAACAAGTTGTTACTATATATCAAAATATAGAACTTGAATTTCAGTAACTCACTGCAAAATTTGATTGCTCAAAACTTGAAGAACAAGTTGTAAAAGAATTTCAAGATCTTCAAGTGTCTTTTAATATAAAGCGGAAGAGAATAAGATCAACCCAAGGATGAGTTTTCTTTTCAAGGGGTGGGGACAAAAGGGTTCAATTATAATTAAGTGATGGGTTGCTCTTTGGATTATTGTAGATTAGCACTGTTCTTGCTACTGTAGAACAAATTTGTATCAGTGTTGTTTTAAATTTTATTTGTGTCTTTTGGTTTCTTTATAATTACTATTGACAGGCATAAAGTTGCATTGACTAACTGACCTGGTATCTACGTTTATTTTGGGAGATAATATGGCATGCTTTGACCTGCATTGTCTTCACTGCACTCTTAGATGAGTAAACCAACCATTTGGTGAATGATTCAATTAAATTAAGTTGCTCAGTATTTCCAGTGGTCGTAAGAGGCTGTGGAAATTTCAGATTTCTCGCTCAGGATGATATGCCAGAATCAGATAACAAGGATGGTAGGTCATGTGCATTATCAATTTTTCCAGAGGCTTTGGTGTAGCCATGATCAATGTTAGAAGCTGAAGAAGCATGATAAGATGATTTGTCAGCAAATTCTGGTTCCACTGGTCATCCTAATTCAGCTCTGGAAGTTAAAGCCAATCTCAGCATAAGCAATTCACAAAAAAAAAATAACTATCCAAATACTAAAAAACTTTATAATTGTTATCAAAAAAAAAAAAAAAAAAAAAAAACTTTATAATATAGATGAATAATGTCGGATACATTATGATGAAAAACAAATGAAATGATGAATGAAGTTTGTCCCCATTTATATAGCACATTAACAAAGAAAACCAAAGGATATGGGATGATAAAATTTTTATAGACGCCATTATTTTCTTATCCTCTCCTTTCTTAAAGTAAAGGAAAAAAAAATAAAAAAAAGAATGTAATTTTATAAGAAGAAGGTTATACTTACAAATTATTTTCGTTTATAACATTTTATAATCATATCTTTGGAAAGGATATTGTAACAACCAATTAATGTTATTACCAATCAATTTCACCGTTAGATCGAGGTTATATTTATTTCTATATTTATATGGTTATGATTGACCATATTTAATATTTTATATTTATTTCCACCTTTGTATGGTTATAATTTTCCATATTTAATGCTTTCACATTAAATATGAGGAATCATAATCATACAAAGATAAAAATAAATATAGGCCTCTTTCTGGGGCCCCGAGCCATCAGTGAGATACCACTCTGGAAGAGTTAGAATTCTAACTTTGTGCCAGGACCTACGGGCCAAGGGACAGTCTCAGGTAGACAATTTCTATGATGCGTAGGCCTCCCAGGCTTTCTACATATATATCGTCCAAAGCAACGATTTTTATCAGCTGTAGCAAAGAAAGAAACTTCATAGAGGTCGAAATATGAGGAACCAGATGTAATTATGCATTCCAAATTACAATAAAGAATAAAAAGAAGGAGGATTCGAAATGCGGGATATAAAAACATATCTCTCTGTGGCACCAATGATAAGTACTTTATGGTTCAGGGCTTTAGCGGGTCTCTTGATAGAGATCAATCGTTTATTCCCGGACGTATTGATATTCCCCTTTTTTTCATTTTAATTTTTGGCACGGGAGGGGGCGGGTTAAAAAGATTGGAGATCCAATCAAATATCTTTCATTAACCCCCTCCCCTCTTATTTTTTTTTATTTTTTTAGAATTAGAGAATAAGTTTGAAAAGATAAAAAATAAAAACAGATTTGGCCTCCGTGAAACTAGGAATTTTGTATAGGCTTCAATGGAATTTCATTAATAATTTCGATTATGGAATTATTAATGAAACTCCATTTCTATAAATAATAGAGTGAGGCCAGAAATGGAGTTGGAATGAGGACAACAATATCATACAAGATACTTAAACTAAACCGTTAATGCTATACTGCGATTCGAAATGTAGTTTGAAATCACTGTATTACTCAAGGAAGCACGGGCACTCCAAAAAACAGAGAGTGTCGTGTCCGACACGAGGTCAATATTCCCGACACGTTGACCATTTCGACACGCGAATTTAATTGTGTCCGACACGTCCTGACACACTCCGACATGGTCAAATGACATTTTCGTAAAAAAAATTATTTTTTTTATAAAAAAATTTAAATTTAAAAATTATTTTTTTAAAAATTGAAATATATTAATAAAGCTTCCACCTGATCTTATCTTTTTTATTTTATTTTTCCTTTTTTTTTCCTTAAGTAGATAAGAGATCATCTCAGTATCATTGTTGTCAATTCCTATTACGCTCTTGTTGTATCTCCTTCTCTCTGATCTCTCTCTAATTTGATTTGATCTCTTTATCTGATATTATCTCTCTCTCATCTCAGTTCCTGTTTTTTTATTAAAGCTTCCACCTTTATAACGTGTTGATGGATATTGTTAATTTAGTTTTATTTTTTTGTTAAATTATTGAATATTAAATGTACTATACGCTATATAAATTAAAAATATTATTTAATATTAAAACGTGTTCCAAGGTGTCAAAATTCATATTTTTTTAGGATTGACGTGTCGGAGTGTCGTGTCACGTGTCACATCGGTGCTACATAGGTATTACTCAACATAATCGATCTAACGGTGAAATTGATTGATAGTAATATTGGTAGTAACACTAATTGGTTGTTATAATATCTTACCGCTCATATCTTAACAGTTAATTTTCGTCAATTAATGATTATTATTTTTGCAAATCAAATTCATTAATTAATTATTAATTAACAATAATTAATTATGGATTGATAAAAATAAATAATTAAGATATAATTATAAAATATTATGAACATATTATGATTATAACTTTTTATGAAATTTAATGGCAAAAGATCGGTAGAGTGGACTGGACTAAGACCAAGAATTGGTTTAAACCCGGTTTGAAACCCGAACCGGCCAACGAGGGGGATAAAACGAAGAAAACCGACAAATCATCCACGACTCGACTCGACTCGACCCGGAGAGAGAGAGAGAGATTCCGTTTTTAAAACCGCCACAGGCAGTGGGTCCCACCGATGGAAGCGGACGATGCAACCCCGGCGGCGGCCATAACGCGGTGGAAGTTCGAGGTGTCGCGGCAGTACCAGCACCTGCTGGACAAAGCGACGCCGCACGTGGCTCGGCGGTGGATTGGGTGTCTGGTGGTGGCGTTGGTGTACGTGCTACGCGTGTACTTGGTGCAAGGATTCTACGTCGTGTCGTACGGCCTTGGCATTTACATCCTGAACCTTCTGATCGGGTTTCTGTCCCCTCAGGTGGATCCCGAGATTATCGATTTGGATGGGCCCACCCTCCCCACCACCGGCTCCGATGAGTTCCGCCCCTTTGTTCGTCGCCTCCCCGAGTTCAAGTTCTGGTTCGTATTCTTTCTTCTTTCACTTTTCTACTACTTCTAGGTTTTCGTAGCCTCGTACTGCTACTTTTCTTCTGTTCTTGATTCAATCTTCGAAACGTAATTGTTGTCGCTCCATTTGCGATTTGGCATGTTTTTCGGAGAATCGTGGATGAAATAATTAGTTTGTGATGAGTTTTTGGTTGAATCGTTGTGGTTCTTCTAAGCCTAAGGCTGTTCTTATTTTAGGGGGTGGAAAATAGAGTGAGATGGAAAAAAAATAGTTTTGGGGTTTAAGCTCATTGTTCATTGCTTGGCCTAACATTGTTGGGGTGGAGTGTAAATAAGTTGTAATCTTTTCGCATGTCTCATAGTTTTTGTATGTGCAAGTAAGAAGTGTTGTTTTGGTTCTGAAATTTGCACCTCCTAAAACAAGCACGCCCTGAGGTTGTGTTTGAATGGGGTGTAACGGTCCTTTAAGGGATCTCCTATGCCGCCACAATAGAGAGGAAGTGTTGAGTAAGTGGCTGTGGTGGCCTGAACTTGGTGCTCTCCGTCCTACTGGAGCTCCTTGATCAATCCCCTTATGGATCTTCTTCAGTATTACACATGCCAGAATAACTGTAATTCTGATGTATCACAGTTACCACAGGATTCAAATCCAAACCCTAATTCCACGGCATATTCTTTTTCAGCATCTGCGCTGTCAAATGTGCAGCTCCAAGTCCCAAAGTTCATCTGTGCCTTGCGGGCACTCAAGCAAAACTTCACTTTTGCAAGTAATAACACATGTTTCGTGTCTATATTTGTCTCTGCATATAACCACTTTGCCTAGAAATTATAGAGATTTAGAAAGGGACAGAAGAAGAGGGAAAATAAAGACTAAATAATTTGAAACTGGTATAATTTTATGTGAAGGATGTGTCATGATGTGATACAACAAACTACAAAGCAATAATATCGATTTATACTAATATTAGACTCTGAATCCTAATTAAAAAAGGAAACAAATTGTGAAATATATAGAATATGAAAACCAAAACTAATAGATAATCTAAGATGCTCTAAATTACTCTAAGATACAATGAATGTATTTGAGATATTTTTCATATAGTCTAATATCAATATCCTCCTCAATCTAATTATTATAAATGACTTCTTTAAAATTGAAAAATCACCAAAAAATATTATCTGGGCTCCACAAAACCTGGTGGGAAAGGCAATCTAGGGATGCAACTAGTCTGGATTTTGGGTGTCAATAGGTGTCCTTGATCTGGCAAGTTGGGGTGTGGAAGACAGGTGGGCTACATTGTAGCCACACCCATAAGCTTGAAGTTTAACAGCGAAGGTTGGTTGCAAAACCGTGTGATGAAGGCACTTAGGCTTCAACAATGAAGGTTGTTAAGCTTGAAGTTCAGCAATGAAGGCTGGTTGCAAAACCATACGATGAAGGCACCTAGGGTCTATCTATGAAGGCTAGTGCATCAGCATTGAAGGCTGATGGCGGGAAGATGATGTGTGGCTTGCATGTGCTGAGAGGAGAATGCACACGTGGAGGCACGTGAGATTTTTTTTTTTATTTTTTCCAGTTGGCTCCAGGAGGAGGTATGGCAAGACTGGCTTGCTGGTATCAAGGTTGGAGATGGTTCAATCTTACCGCAAGCTGGAGGAACTTTGAGAAGGCGTTCATAGAGAAATATTTACCTGAAATTTACATGGTAGAGGGTGCAGAATTGGCGACGTCAGACGCCTTGAAAGAAGAAGAAGAAGATGCAACCGAAGAAACAGAGAACAAAATCAAAGAAAAAAAAGAAAAGAAAGAAGAAGTACATCAGAAAACCAAAGAAGAAGTGGACAATGTGGTTGATGCAGAAAAAGAAAAAGAAAAAGAAATAGATGAAGAAGAAGCTGAGACAGAAGTAAAGGAAGAACAAGAAAAGGAAGCAGAAAAAGAAGGAGGGAAATGCAGAAGAAACAACAAAGGTAAACGGAAAAGAAACAGAAAGGACCGAAGCAGAAGGAAACGAAGTCAAAGGAGCAGAAATAAACACAGAAGAAGGATCGGAAGGGAATGGTGTAGAAGAAGGACAAGGTGAATTTTAGAGGGGGAATATTGATGGGCTTTTAATAAAATATCCAAGTCCATTAGTTAGGAATTAGTTATATATAGATGCCTAGTGTATGGTTTCTTTATGCATAAATCAGTATTGGCTTATGGGAAAATTGGGGATCTCAGAGCAGATCATAAGGTGCAAGGCTTGTTTGTCGGGCAAGCAGACAAGACTTCCCTTCAAGGAATCCACTTGGAGAGCTACAGAGAAGCTGCGGTTGATTCATACAGATCTCGTGGTCCTCAAGTGACTCTTTCACTAAATGGCAGCAAGTATTTCTTTATTTTCATTGATGATTATACCAGAGTGCTGGATTTACTTCATGAAGCAAAAGTCAGAAGTTGCTGAGGTATTTTTGAAGAAGGGTTGAAACCTAAAGTGGTTGCAAAATTCAGGTCATCAAATATGATAATGGAACATAATACACTTCACAGAGGTTTAACTCTTTTTGTGAAGAAGCTAGAATTAAGCATCAACTTACTGCTCCTTATTCTCCACAGCAAAATGGAGTTGGTGAGAGAAATAATAGAACCATTATGGAGATGACTTGGTGTCTACTGCATGAGAAGAATCTACCAAAAGAATTTTGGGTAGAAGCAGCAAACACAATAGTTTTTCTGTTGAATACCTACAAGAGTATTGGAGAAGAAGACACCTTTTGAAGCTTGGTTTGGTTTCAAGTCATTTCTATGAAATTTGAAGGTGTTTGGCTGCCTGTGCTTTTCTCACCTTCCACAGGTCAAGAGAGACAAGCAGGGAGAGAAAGCTGAACCTGGTATCTTTGTTGGCTACAATCTAGTGTCAAAAGCCTACAAGATCTATTAACCGCAGACAAAGAAAGTGATCACTAGTAGGGATGTTTAGTTCCTAGAAGATGAGCAATGGGATTGGACAAATGAGCCACAAGCCGAGCACAAGCAAGTCTCATTGGAATCTGATGAGCTGGTAGATGATGTTCCAATTAGAGGTACCAGATCTCTGACTAATATATATCAGAGTTGTAGTGTGGCTGTTTTGGAACCTTCAGGTTATGAGGAAGCTAAAAATGATCAGAGGTGGATGAATGCTATAAAGGAAGATTTGGCTATGATAGAAAAGAACCAGACATGGAAGCTAGTGGAGAGGCCTGAAGATAGGAAGGTGATTGGAGTAAAATGGGTTTTCAGGACAAAACTCAATCCTGATGACTCAAGTGAATAAGCATAAAGTCAAGCTGGTGGTGAAGGGATATGCACAGATTTGGGGAGTTGAATTCTCAGAAACTTTTGCTCTTTTTGCAAGAGTGGATACAATTAGAATGACTCTTGCTTTGGCAGCTCAACAAGGATAGAAAGTGTATCAGTTAGATGTGAAATCTGCATTTTTGAATGGAGTGTTGCAGGAGGAGATTTATGTTGAGCAGCCAGAAGGTTTTGTCACACCAGGTCAGGAGGAGATGTATTTGATGAGAAAAGCTCTCTATGGCTTGAGGCAAGCTCCAAGAGCATGGTACACAAGATGGATGAGCACTTGCTGGGTTTGGGTTTCAAGAAAAGTCTTAAGGAATCCACTTTATATGTCAAGAAGTTGGTATCCGACTTAGTAGTGGTGTCTCTTTACGTGGATGATATGTTGTTGACAGGGAGTAATAGTTCTTAGATTACTGCATTTAAGAAAGAGATGACGAAAATGTTTGAAATGACTGATCTTGGTGAGATGTCTTATTTTCTGGGGATGGAGGTCAGGCAGACTCAGAATGAAGTTTTTATCTGTCAGACGAAGTACTTGAAGGAGATCCTAAAGGGATTTAACATGGAGGAGTGCAAGAGTGTAAGTACTCCAAAAGGAAAAGCTTCAAAAGAAAGATGGATCGGAACGTGCAGATGAAAGAGTTTGTAGAAGTTTAATTGGCTGCCTTATGTATCTCACTGCAATTAGGCCAGACATTATGTTTACTGTAAGTGTCTTGTCTAGATTTCTTAGTTGTGCAAGTGAGTTGAACATGTTAGCTGCAAAGAGGGTGTTAAGATACTTGATAAGTACTCTTTCATATGGAATTAAGTTCTGCAAAATTTTGGGAGTTTAAGTTGCAGGGGTATTCTGACAGTGACCGTGCCGAATCAGTGGAGGATATGAAGAGTACTTCAGGTTATTGTTTTACATTTGGGTCGGCATGTTTTTCATGGTGTTCAAAGAAGTAGGAAATAGTGGCTCAATCAACTGCAGAAGCTGAGTTCATTGCAGCTACTGCAGCTGCGAATCAAACATTATGGTTGAAGAAGCTGATGGATGATCTGCATTTGGAGCAAAAAGAAGGCATAGAAGTATTTGTGGATAATCAAGCTACTCTAGCCATTTCACAGAATCCAGGATTTCATGGAAGAACAAAGCATTTTAAGATCAAGTATTACTTCTTGAGAGAAGTGCAGAAGGCTGGAGAGGTGAAGCTAGTGTACTGCAGTTCAGAAAGCCAAATTGCAGATATATTCACCTAGTCATTTAATGTTGGTCAATTTGAACTTATCAGGGTAAAGCTAGGAGTGTGCAGCTCTTGATCCAGGAGGAGAGTGTCGAATGTATCAAGGCTACAGTTGATGTCCAATTTTCTAGGAGTTAATTAGTTGTTATTTTTTTTACTTGGTGAGCCTTATTTGTAGGAGTGTTTAACTGCATTTTATTTTTACTGTTCAGTTAGTTGTTGCTGATTTTGTGGACTAAGAAAGTAGCTAGTTAGTGGGCAACATGTATTTATGGAAAAGCTTAGTTTGTATTTAATTAATTTTCGGTCTTCTGAATAAAACTAGAAGGGGTTGCAAAAATTACAGCTTTCGCTGTGAATTCTTTCTTTTTTTCTTCAAAGATCAGGAAGGTGTAATTTAATTCCCTTGCATTTCAAATTCTTTGGAATTCTAAAATGCCCCCATACGGATACGACTTAAGCGAGATGCAATGCTACATAGCCTGTTAGCTTTAGCTTAAGAGGATATCAATCTGCGTAATATGGGAAAGATCAGCCCAATAAAGTTTGATATTGTGCTCTGTTGGAGTAGTTATTTGTGAAGTTAAGTTACTAATGTTGTGTTATTTACAGGCTTTCTTGTTCTGTAAAAAAAATTATAGGGCTATCTGAAAGAGATTGTAATCATGTGTGAAACTAAAAGGATAGGCATGTGAATTGAACAAATAGATTTGATCTGTCAGTTTTTTTCTTACAAGAAGCTTGATTTTCATTCACACAATTGTGAATTGTTTAAAAGTGCCCGCTTTAAAATTAGCCTTACATGAGATCTGTGACAAATATGTGCTCTGAAAAGAGGTCTTGATGGACAGAATCTTTTCCTATAGGTTTCTCATTCTTGTTGTCAATGTCTCTCCCTTTTTGATTGCTTTGTTACTTTGAAATAGCAATGTTGTATTCATTTCATCACATGAAGCTAATGTCACTTTTCAACATGAAAAAGTAATATTTGGATGTTCTTATTTTTGGGTTTTGTGCTTCTAAATTATAGAAGTAAGTTCCCTGTTCACTTAGGGAAGATATTATGTCTTCATACTTTTACCTTTAGGATTTTGACATGCAGAAGTTGCTTCTACTAAAGGTACTTAATTTTCCTTTGCGGACAGGTACTCGATCACGAAGGCATTTTGCATTGCATTTGTGATGACTTTCTTTAGTGCGTTTGATGTTCCAGTGTTCTGGCCAATACTCCTTTTCTACTGGGTGGTCCTATTCACGCTTACTATGAGGAAACAGATTTCTCACATGATCAAACACAAATATGTACCGTTCTCATTTGGAAAACAGGTAAATTGAAATTTTAATTCGTGCAAAATTGTTGTCATAGATATTGTATATTAGTCCATTTAGTGGTTTTTTTTAACATTATTTACATCTTTGGTTTTGTTTGTTTTACTTTTAGCGCTATAATGGAAAGAGAGCATCAGCAGAAAGCTCAAGCCTTTCGGATGACTGAAATTTTCAGGGTAATTAAACTTTATTTGCTTCATTTAAGTGACAGACCCACATGTAGCTTGATATCATTTGCAGTATATTTTAACAGCTGGAGCAATCTGAGGATGTGATGGTGGCTGAAGAAGGTTACTTTGAGGGCCTAGTATGAACAATTGGATGTTCAATTTCCCAGTTGAGCAATTGTTTAGACTTTGGACGTCTTGGGTGTTTTTGCGCCCTGGTAAAAGATTTAGCTTTGGGGAGTGAGGGCTCGTCCTTTACCTCAAATCCTTTTCCTTTATTTTCTATTTCTATATAGGTGGGCATACGATTCTTATTCTCGAATTTTAGTCAAATTACAAGAATTTTAGGTAACTTGTGTAGAATGAATCCCCTTCATTATTTGCAATTTGGTTATGCTGATGTATCTTGTACATTGTATGTTATTTTTTCGGTTAATCATGTGCTTTGTAGGAGCTCCTTTTTCTAGAAATTAGCCCAAACAATGTAAATTTTCTCTTTATTTAAGGCATTATCGATGGTAACAATGCATCCTTATAACTTTTCTTTAAATGGGCACAATTTTTTCAAAGATCCTTCATACAATATATGAAAGTTCTTTTAATTTTGATTTTGATCAATTGGACCAGTCATTTAGTCATGGGATCTGTCTTTTGCAAATGGGTCTATTGGTATACCATTTGCTCAGGAAATTTGCTTGATAATTTTGACGTGCATCTCTTTTAAGAAATAATAATTGGTTGGACCTAGTGTAAATTTGATCCCTTCTCATCGTCCATCGATTGTATATTTTATTTGGTCATACCATTGATCGGTTTACGAGGTGTTCGTATACGCAATGGATGGGTTATCATTTATCAGTTGTTCGTAAATTAAGAGGAAGAGTCAATCATGGTTCTGCGCTCCATACTTGGCCAAAAATTAGGCAAATACTATTAGCTTCACGAAAAAAGTGATGGAGCCTATAACGTCCCAGTGCTTGTTGAGTAGACGTTTATCCACGAGCCCATCCCTTATATTGTTACTTGAGCTTGTTCGCCAAGCATTCCATTTATGGTTTTAATGCTGATTCACGGCCTCTGATAATGGGGAAAGGTACTCTTGCTAATGTCAAATAAGACACGATACTGAAGTTCCAGCCTCTTGTAAGCTTGTGATTCAATGTATCACTTGTTGGCCCCACTTTTTAGAAACTCTATGTACACATATGATCAGCGTTTGATCCAAACACTTGAGGCCCTATATGGATGCAATGTGCTATTGTAATCACACTGGCAGTAACTTTTAACTCCAATTAAACTTCATAGACCATTGTTTGATTGTAGGACACACTCGTTATGAGACTATAAAAAGTTAACTTCTTAGTTTCAATTATTCAACTGATATGAAATGTTGCACCATGTGTAAAAAAGCTTACTATTTTCCTACATGCAGCTACCATGATATTTTCCAAGTGCTCTTAGTATCAAGCATGGAGCATGCGGTAATAGTGCATAGTGGACCCATTTTTTCAAAATGAAGAACAGAGGTGAAGGGCACATTGAAATCGTTAAGGATTTCCGATTAAACATTCAAATCGTTAAGTGAAAACCAGTACAAATTGATAATCAGGTGCAGTTTGCACGTGAAGAAATCTATGTACAATAGTAGCACAATCATTAGTCATATCCAATAGCAATATCTAAAGTAACAGCAACATCACTTTCTTTCTCCTTTAGCACTTGTTCCTCTTCCCGGTCCCAAAGTAATGATGATGGTGCTTCAAGCACTGCTAATATACACTTCAGTGCTTTCATAAGATGAATTAAGGATTGCAGATTTTTTACCATTCTTCACTGGGTATGAAGCCTCCATTGCGATTCCACACTTCCCAGTGGAACTTATCACATTACGCTCTATCTTAAAGTAGCCATCCTCACCCCAGCCAGTGCCCCATGAGTTCCTCACCAGCCAATAATCCAAACCATTTTCAGATCCATATCCAACAACAACCACACCATGGTCTAAGTTTGTGCCACATCTACCAGTAAATACACCCTGAACAAAAAAGCAGAAATTTATAAGCATATGACATCCCCATGTTGTTGCATGCTGACAATAGTTCCTTGTCTCAAAAGCCTTTATATAATTTGGTGTTTGTATTGTGCTTACCGCACTCTTCCATTGTAGAAACTAGCTTAAAAACATAGTCTAAGATCAAAATTAAAGTCCAATTAATAAATTGACATAAGCTCACAGAGTGATAGAGTTGCAAAGCCCTGCCAGAAGCCTCAATAGCAACGCTCACAGGTTGATGAGCCACAGCTTTCTTTAATGCATTCTCATTGTATGGTGTAACATCCTCATACCCATCAATGTTCACTACCTTAGCATTTTTCTGCAGCAATACAAACCATTAGAAACAAATCAATTATTAAGTTTCAAATGTCATACAAACTCAAATTTTATTTTATTTTAATTTTTCCAAGATTGGTTTTATGCTGACCCTTGTTGGATCACATTTGCCTTCAACTCCTTGGTATGGATAGTCTTCCTCTGTGTCTATGCCACCATTTCCAATGATGAACTCGAAAGCATAATCCATGAGACCCCCATTGCACCCTTCATTGTAGTCTCTGTCACAGTCCACAAGTTCTTGTTCTGACAAAGCCACAAGCTTCCCTGTTACTATCTTATTTATAGCTTCCACTGTGGCCACCGTTGAAAATGCCCAACAACTTCCTGCCTCAGTAGAAAAATTAAATAAATAAATAGAATCCAACAGTTCAATTTCCAACATAGTTCAATCAAATCAAATCTACCATAATCTATCACTTTTTTAATAAATAATTGTTTAACAGAAACATGGTCAAAGTCAGAAAAGTATAAACAATTAATAATTAAATGTGTTTTCGAGTCTTCCCAAGAAAATCTCATGTACTCATCTAATAATAATATCAAGTGAATCAAACATTTTATCTGAATTTGGAAAAAAATCAATGCAATTAAGTTAACTATTTGTATTTCTTATAAACTACAATAAAATTTAGAAAAATAAGTATATTACTCTAAAATACAAAAAAAAAAAAATCCCATCTAAAAGAGTGTTTCAAATTCTTAAAATACTAAATTGCCTCTTATTAGATAAAGTTTGTTGGACTTGAATTTTAAAAAAAGGTCCTTATCTTATCTGATAAGTAGCCTTAGTTAGCAAATGTTATCTTTAACAAAAAGAAAAGGTAAGAAGAAAAAAAATAATAATAATGAAAAAACTCACCGCAACTTCCCTGATCTTTGATCGGAGCAACGGCACCTTTCAACCTCCAATCCACATGAACCGGCAACCGGTCACCGGCGTTATAAGCATACCGGTGACCGGTGCTCTTGGTTTTCATGACCCTGCGCTTAGCATCATTCTTTGTACCCAAAAACATGGCACGGTATTCGTCGGTAGTTAAATCAGCAAACTTGTTCAACCCAAGTTTGTATGTGAGGTTTTGAGCGTTATGCTCATCAATGAATCCCAAGTTTTCCTTAAAAACTTGAAACCTCTTGTCTTTTTCTCCCAACCCATTATACACTTTTTGGTGTTTGACTAGCCATTCTTCGTACATGGCCATGACACTTGATTGGTCATGGTCATTGGTGTAGCTGATGATGGACATGTCCAAAGCCAATGACATAGTGAAGAAGGAAATGAAGAGCAAGGTGGATATGGCCATCGTAGCAGCCATGGTTGTTGTTTGAAACAGGATAGAAGGGTGTTTGGGTTGAACAAGTTTGAAACTAGGCAGATAACAAGGTTTCAAGTTTGAAAGGTTGTTGGTGAAGAAAAGAAAGGGTGTGTGTGTGAGTTTATATAGAGGGAAGAAAATGATTTAATATTCTAAGAAGATTAATGAATGTTGGCAAAAATAAATACTTTAGGCAAGTGGTGAATTCATTTGGGATGGGAAAATTGGCATGATTATAGGGAACTGCCACACCATGTGATTGTGAACTCTGAGTTGATGATGAATAATTGAAATCTTGAATTATAGAAATGAACCTTATTCCTTTTATTTGGTAAATAAAGACAATTATTTGAAAGAAATTCTTGTTATGTACGTACTCTCAAAGCATTACATTAGTTAATTAAAAACATAACTCATGGAATAGCATAATAATACACATGCCGTTAGATTATGGGAGAGATTATATTTATTACCTCTTACTATTAAATCTTAATCGTTGATTTCTGTCAATCTAACGGTTATAATTTATTGAAAATTAATAATTAATAAATATGACCCAATATATTTCAACCGTTAGATTAACAGAAATAACAGTTAAGATTTAGTAGTAAGAAGTAGTAAAAAAGAGAGGTAGTAACTATAACCTCTCCCGTTATTATTTTTGTTTTGGAATATTTGCTTTATAAAAATATTTTGTTTTAGTTTTTAATAAAATTAATGAAGTTTCTAATTTTATTATTATCTCTTAGTATTTTCACCCAATAAAACAAGAGAAAACATCGATAAGTGGTAATATTTTAAGTATCTTAATAGAAATATTTTAGTCAAATACAGTTACATCTTCCTAGCTACAATCAAGACTATTTAAGATTTTTCTTAATTATTGTACAATTATCTTAAGAATAATTTTAAATCTTTATATTACTAAGAGGATGGTTATATTTATAAACTAAATTGTTTACAAACTCTTATAATCAAATTTTAATCGCTGATTTTCATCAATTTAATGGTTATAAATTATTTCCATCAATATTAAATCAAAAAGTATTGCTGGTTTTTTATATTCTTAAAATATTAAAGGATTTTATTTTTTAATTTAAAACTGTTATTAAGTAGTATTAAAAATTGATTTTAAAAAATTAATTTAATCAAGGCTCTTAAATAATATATACTTTTAAACAGATAAAATAATTTTAAATCAGATCTGAAATGTCGACAGTCAATATTATTACTTTTGGAGTATATAAAATATTTTCATGAGGAAATTTTTAATTTGTAGCAAGAAAAACTCCTTACACACACATATATATATATATATATATATATATATATATATATATATATATATATAAAATTAAAATCTATTAATGTCTTTCAATTTAATCATATTGTTCATATTTATTACCCTTAAGATAATACATATTTAATATTAAAAAAAGTAAGAAAAATCCTTTCTTCTTACGCCACTAATTAATTTATCATTTTCCATCATTGACTTTGAGAGCGTGAAAGTGAAATAAATTTTTAATGCTACTGTTGCATCAAAATTTAATGCATTTTACTAATGAGAAAATATTACATATCATAGGAGAGAAAAAAAATTTGACCAAAAAAAAAAAATTTATTTGATATGTAATATTTCTATTGATAAGATGTACTGAATCTTTGGTGCAACAGTAGCACTAAAAATTTATTCGTGAATGGCAAATGGCTAAGTTTTTCGTGTATATTGAGACCATTGCCATACATATAATGCGGCGTGTTCCACAGATATCTTCTAAAAGTGGGATTTCGTTTACTTTCGAGACAATCAAAGCTCGAACCAAGTGCTTTTACAAAATATGAATAGAAGTATTAGATACATAAATTGCTATGCTAACTCCATAACTATGTTACGTAGAAAAAACTGCCAACCATTTATTATATATTTATTTTATGATAAATACATAAAATTATATTAATACAACCAAAAAATAATTAACTGTAAGATAAATATATCATAATTTAAAAATAAACATAGATACCGAAATGATGTAATATTGATATGTGTGATATGATAGCAGGGCCTTAGCAATGAAGGAAATGAATCACTTCCACCTCTTTTATATTCAAAAGCTTAATAAAAGAAAATAAGAGCTTTTTTTTTACCTTGAACTTTCGGTTGGGTATATGAAGTGCTCTTTAGTCTTTAGTCTTTTATGGGTAGAGACGTAAGAATGGGGAGATTCTTGAAAAGCTTATGGGTTAAGTGAATTTAATAGTTATAGAAGATAAGCTGCAACTGCAACACATTGAAAAAAACTTGTGATTCCTTCGCAATGGGCAATTATTCATTTGATATCCACAAGTTGCAGAAGCCGGTGGTGGATTCTGATTGCATCTGACAGCCACAATTCCCAAGTGTGGTGGCATGGATCACATATAATAAGACACATATATATAACTGTCCCAACTTTAAAGCACTTGGGAAATCACTCATGGGCAAGGTTCCCCTGACTTTGGAAAAAAGAAGAGGAGGTTATCCCCTTATCTTCAAAATATAATAGTAATATTTTATTTGGAATTATATTATTTTATTTTTTTGATAAACAGAATTATATTATTTAAATGTTTGCAAGATGTCACGGATTTTAACTTATTTATATTAAATGGTTTTATAAAGTTAGAGATAATTTTTCAAAAAAATATTATTGGTCCATATAGCCCTTAAACAGCGTCTCATTCATACAATTGGCCAAATTTGTTTGCGCATGGTGTTCTGATTGGATCTAGCTAGTTGAGTGTAGATTTCTTTGGAAGAAATTTGATGCGTTGATAAACCCACCAACCTTGAACCTTCTTCAAGTTTCAGTAATAGTTTTTTTCACTGTAATTCCGTCTACAATATTTAACAAAAAAAACCACTAACTAACTTGTAACTTCCACCCCCAACTTTCATGTAACATTTCGGTAATTGGTAGCCTACATTGATGACCGAGGTTTTAACTTGTACGCTTTTCTTTTGGAAGGTTGTTTCATAAATCATAACAAAATGTGTTTGGCCCAATGCATATCATCCAATCTTTAATCTGTGCCAGATGTGGGCAGCATGATGAAATGAATTAGAAATCACATCACGAGACCTTTTTTTTTTTTTTTTTTTTCAGGTTTTTGAGAACACCTACTATAACGAAAATATAATGTTGTAAATAATATTGATTTAGTTATTATTTAGTTTTTATTTAGTCATTTATTGTTGTATTGGGCCAAGCTCATTAGGTTAAAAGTAGGTCAAATATTCTCTATAAATAGAGAACCCTTTGTACACATTATTTTCAATTCTATAATATATTAGAATACCCTTTTTCAAGTTGGTATCAGAGCTTTCGATCTGAGGGCTTTGCTTCCGCACATATTATCTTCTTTTTTAACAAAATCCTAATTTCTTTGCCTCTTGCCGCCATCAGCCGCCACCGGAAAATTTTTCCGGGGACCTTTTGGACCAAGGGGACCATTGTTGACCTTATTTTTCCTCCGATCTATCATTCTACGCACTGTTCCTCCGCCACAAACGACCGAAACACCTCCGACCGCCTCCAATCAGATCTGTCTTCACTGTTTGGACCACTTTCCGGCGACTTTTCAACCGCGACCACCCACAGACAGGTGCGCGCTCACCGGACGACCACACCAGAAAAATCTCAGCCGGCGAAGCCCATCCACGCGCTCTCACGCGCCGCCCCTTTCCCGGCGAGTGAATCCCACACGCAGCTCCTTTCTCCGGCGCGTGCGGCCGTGTTTTTGGACCGGACCACCACCATTCTTCTCGTCTTCTTGTCTTCTGTCTGGATCTGTAATTATTTTTCTGATCAGAGGTCATTTGATATTCTGTTTGGTTGATTTTATCGCTGGTTGTTAACTTTTTTTGTTAAAGAATGGCCGAGCATGATAGTTCTTCGATCTTATCTGATAAGAGCACACGTTCTATATCTCTTCTTGCTTCTTGCACTGATTTTAAAACCTCATGGATTTTGGATTCTGGTGCAACTGATCATATGACTTGTCGTACTGAGTTGTTTTGTTCTTATCATCCTACTGTTGGTAGTCATATTATATCCGTAGCTGATGGATCCCATAAATCAGTTATTGGTTCTGGTAACATTCAAATTCAACCTTCCTTGTTTCTTAAAAATGTTCTTTATGTTCCTCAGCTTTCTACTAATCTTATCTCCACTCAAAAACTTACAACTGATTTGAATTGTTCTATCACATTTTTTCCTTCTCATTGTCTTATTCAGGATCTTATCACGAAGAAGACAATTGGAATTGCTAATGAACAGGATGGGTTGTATCATCTCCTTCCAGACCATGCTAGCAAAAATCAGTTATTAATGACATGTCATCCCTCTACTGCAGAGTCTGTGATTTGGCTCCATCACAAGCGTCTCGGGCATCCACCATTTAGTCTTTTGAAGTCTATGTTCCCCTCTCTGTTTCTCAATAAGTCGGTTCAGACCTTTCATTGTGATGTTTGTGAATTTGCAAAACACCATCGAGTGTCATTTCCTTCTAGCACTATTAAAAGCAGGGAACCTTTTTCTCTTATCCATTCTGATGTTTGGGGCCCTTCTAAAGTGCACAGTGTTTCAGGTGCAAGGTGATTTGTTTCTTTTATTGACGATTGTACTCGGATAACATGGATATACTTGATGAAAGACAAGTCTTGTTCCTCATGTCCCTCTTGTACTCAATACCCTATCTCCCACTTTGTTTCCTCTGCTAATCTTTCTGTGCAGCACAAAAGCTTTGTTTCAGCACTAGATTCTATTGCAATCCCAAAATCAGTACATGAAGCCTTGAAAGATAGGAATTGGGCTCAAGCCATGCAAGAGGAGGTGAATGCTTTGGAGAAAAATAAAACATGGGAGGTTATTGATAGACCCAACGGAAAGAAAGCAGTAGGGTGCATATGAGTTTATGCCCTGAAATATAATTCTGATGGCACTCTTGAGAGATATAAGGCTCGATTAGTAGCCAAAGGTTACACTCAAACCTATGGCATTGATTATGAAGAAACCTTTGCTCCAGTTGCAAAGATGAATACAGTGAGAATCTTGTTATCCCTTGCTGCCCATTACAATTGGGATATAAATTAATTTGATGTAAAAAAATGCTTTCCTCAATGGTGAGTTAGAAGAAGAAGTCTACATGGAAATCCCGCCTGGTTTTGATTATGTGAAGGGGGAAAATAAAGTTTGTAGATTAAAAAAGGCCTTGTATGGATTGAAGCAGTCACCTCGTGTTTGGTTTGGAAGATTTACTAAGGTTATGATGACCTTAGGATACAGACAGAGCCAAGGAGATCACACTCTTTTCTTTAAGCACTCCCAAAATGGGAAGCTTACTGTGCTCCTTGTATATGTTGATGATATTATTATCACAGGTGATGATTTTGTGGAGAGACAGATTCTGCAAACACGGCTTGCCTCTGAGTTTGAAATCAAAGACCTTGGGAAACTGAGATATTTCCTAGGGATAGAAGTAGCTCATTCAAGCAAAGAAATTTTTATCAGCCAGAGGAAATATGTTCTTGATCTTCTCAAAGAAGCAGGAAAGCTCGGGTGTAAACCCTCTAATACTCCTATTGAGCAGAATCACAAGATGAGCTATGAAGAAGAGAGTCCTCCAGTTGATAAAGGACAATATCAACGGCTAGTTGGGAAATTGATATATCTGGCCCATACTAGACCAGACCTAGCTTATGCTGTTAGTGTTGTCAGTCAGTTTATGCACGATCCAAAGGAAAAACACATGCAGGCAGTAGAGAGAATTCTTTAGTATCTTAAAGGTACTCCTGGTAAAGGATTGTTATTCCGACGTGATGGCAATCTATCTTTAGAAGTCTACACAGATGCTGATTATGCTGGATCCGTGACTGACCGTCGTTCTACCACTGGTTATTGCATGTTTCTTTGCGGTAACTTGGTGACATAGAGAAGTAAGAAACAAGATGTGGTTGCCAGATCAAGTGCAGAAGCTGAATTTTGAGCTATGGCTCAAGGCATTTGTGAGTTACTGTGGCTGAAAATTGTACTTGATGATCTCAAAATAAAATGTGAGGGACCTATGAAGCTGCTATGTGATAATAAGTCCGCTATTTGTATAGCTCATAATCCAGTTCAACATGATCGGACTAAACATATTGAGGTCGACCGCCATTTCATCAAAGAGAAACTTGATAGCGGGTTGATTACCACTCCATACATTCCCACTGAGCGTCAATTAGCTGATCTATTAACAAAGGGGCTTCCTTCAGACAGATTTCAAGAACTTACTAGCAAGCTGGGAATGATAAATATCTATTCCTCAGCTTGAGGGGGAGTGTTGTAAATAATATTGATTTAGTTATTATTTAGTTTTTATTTAGTCATTTATTGTTGTATTGGGTCAAGCCCATTAGGTTAAAAGTAGGTCAAATATTCTCTATAAATAGAGAACCCTTTGTACACATTATTTACAATTCTATAATATATTAGAATACCTTTTTTTAAGTTATAGAATGATTTTCCAACTTATTAAATTAAATCAATTAATAATATTTGTTCCCTTAATTATTTTATAGGATTAATTTTATTTGAAAATAATAAGTGATCAGTTCAATAAGTATTGAATTAGACCACACACGATTGAACATGGTCCAATAGCATGATGTTAAGGAGAGATTTATGAGCGGGAGATAAATTCAGATCAATAAATTATATACAAACTCATTTAATTTTTTTTTAATATAATAGAATAGAGTATTCCTAAACTGCGGGAGATAAATTCAGATCAATAAATTATATACAAACTCATTTAATTTTTTTTTTTAATATAATAGAATAGAATATTCCTAAACTTATCTAAACACTGAAATAGGAATAATGATTTCATTTCAATCCATTTCATTATAATCCTTTAAAAAATTAATTCAACATATTCATAGAATAAATCTTTAGAGCTACGGGTTCAGTACTATTGTCATTCATTTTATGATATATGGATAAAAAAATTTATATTATCTTTTCAACTATCATTTAATTTTTGATCTTTTCAAATAATATAATATTTTTACTCACATGTCATAAAATAAATAACAATAATCCTGAATCTTCGGGTACTACGATAGCACCGAAAATTTATTCGAAACACATAGACTTAATTCTTTGTGGAAAGGCCATCATCTGATGGCTATTTTTTTTATGTTAGTATGCTGCCTCTGCCGAACAACCTAGTCCCGAGGAAGATAGACTCTAGATCTGTTTGATTCTTCATGTCATGTGCTATGGCGTTAAAATATTGTTTAATCTCAGTACAAAAAACTCACAGTTTGACAAATGAAATTAATGCAGAATGAAATCATATTTGACTCAAATAACATAAATATTCCTTATGAGAAAAATTAAGAAGACGAACATTTGTCATGCGTAAATTGTAATGGTTGAATTCAAAAAAAATTATAACTTAATAAAGTAATGTTTAAAAGGGAGCAAAAACCATGTTATTTTGTAATGAAAAATTAACATGTTTATGATCAAATACTCCATAAATTTGTTATGATTTTTCTTTTTAATATTTTGAATATTTCATAACCTTATTTTTTTTTCTAATTGTTTCATATATTTACACATTTATTTATTCTATAAAGTTTTGCTTTAGGCTGGTTGGAAGACAAGAAGGATAAGTTAAAAAGACCAAATTGGAATTCGAAAAGCATAAAATTAATAAACGATGACAATTGTAATTATACAAAATAAAAGATAATATGTTACAAAAAAAAAATTAAATGTCATTTTATTGGATGTAATCACCAATTCCACCTTTGGAGAAAAAAAATGTGATTCTTACTTTTATGAAATTAGGTACAAAACAAAACCACCACTTTATGCTTTTTTAACTGCAAATATAAGAATGCCTATTCTATAAAAGTAATTCTTAATTAAGCACAATTTATCATAAGCACTACAATTATTACTTAAGCAAAAGATTATGTAAGTCATTATTAAAATACACCTATAATGTTTACCAAAAAAAAAAATACACCTATAATAAATCGTGTTATTTTACATGTTAAATAATTATTTAAGTAACTAAAAAATATCACGGTGAAGCAAAGCACGGAATGAATAACCATTCCGCTTACCAAACTTAACGTTAGTATTCGTGTATACCACAATGTTGTAAAAATCGGATTGGGTTGGTCGGGTCAACCCAAAATTCGATGAATTGGTCATCTGACCGATCCGGTTATCATATTGGATCGGCCACGTACCGAACTCGATACGATCCGATCGGTTTTAATGAATATCGGTGACTTGATCGGTTAACTGGTAACTAGGCCCAATTTATTTATAAAAAAAAAGTTTTTCAAACAAAATAAATCATAATTAACATATTTGAGTGATCTGTATTGACTTACCTCAGTTATGTACCTATAAGATTAATATAATCTCAGTTATGCATTATATAGAAAATTTTGATTTAATTTATAATTAAAAATGTCATTTACTGAACCTGAAACATCATTATCACAAGCATTATATATTTGTTTGATATTTTATTGGACAATAATTTATAATTTTTTATTTTTTATATTAAAATATTTAGAAATTATATTTTTTTCAGCTATTTGAATAGGTTTATAATTTGTTTAATATAAATTATAAATTTACATATAATCACTAAGTGGTTGAACCAGTAACCGAATCAATGAACGGGTCAGTTTTAAGCTATGTCTAGTTTCCTCGAGGATCATGATTCATGAACTTCGGAACCCTGTCATTCTGTTACTAGAAGTAATGAAATCAAAGGGACATTTTTAAAAAAGAAAAAGAAAAAGAGAAGACAAATGTAAATTCCTATTGAGGAGAATTTGTATTACATTCAAGAAAAATGATACAAGCTTCCTGCAATGGAGAAAATGCTGCAGAATAAAGTTGACATTGCATTTCATGCGAACGGAATATATATCACCCCAACAAAAATATGAGAGAAAAAAAAAATCAATGTAAAAAATTTTGTGAAGAAATCAAGACTCGAATGCACAGATGCTAGCCCACTTTAGAAGTTACCCCCAATATATGTATCCGGTAAGAACATCTGCTGCTTCATTTGTTCAATCCAGATTCTAGTCAATGAGGGCCAGCAGTGTTGTATCCACAAGGCAGTATAATCCTAAAACGTACTTATTCACATTTCAGTTTTCTTCAGAATGTGTAGAGACTTGCACACCTATCACTTTGGTATCATGCTTTCTCTTACTTCGACTCCGCCTGGCTCTGGATGTTCTAGTTTTTGTAGGCAACTGCTTGGTCGTCTGTTCTTGTGTTTCAATCAGAACTTTTTCATTAATTGGGAGCTCAGGAGGTGCATCTGGCCATGGAGTGCGTTTTGATGGCACGGTTATGTCCAGAGGAGGGTCAATTATCCATCTGCATGAAATTGCATCATATATTCAGGGATATGCACAAAAAACATGCTAATAAATAGTATGCTCGAAGTTTTGAGAAGATATAAATCCATCTTATAGTTGCTGGATGACACATTAAATTTACAAGCATAGGAATCTGACCGAAGTGAGCCCTGAAATATATGATGCTTTAGGGAAGGAGTGATGTTCAGCATACTTAAGTCAAATAAACTTCATGACAAGAAAAAAAATTTGGAAAGCAAAAAAAAAAGAGATATACAAGCATTTGAGAAATGACTTAAGCTTCCCAGGGAAGTAGCTAGTAGAGACAAACTTCAGAAGCCAGAAGAAGCAACAAACGACTTAATGAAGAACAGAAGCCAACAAAAACATGACTTTAGAGAAATTTTTACGAAGAAACAAAATAAAGAAAAAATGGGATACCATGAATTTGGTAAATGACTTCAGTTTCTGAGGAAAGTAGCTGGTAGTGACAAACTTCAGAAGCCAGGAGAAACAACAAACGACTTAATGAAGAAAAGAAACCAAGAAAAACACAGGGCAGCATATTATATATAAGGCATGACTTAGGTGGAAGTGACAGTGTCAGAGGTGTTGATAATGGTCATTCATGACCATTCAATAGAGCATGATCATATGCACGCTCGCACGGACTTGTCTAATTGCTCATATGCAATGTCCTGACAAGCAGAAGTTCTGGGATTGCACTAATGGTAGAAGTGGAATCCCATAACCCCTTTCTCAACCTTAAAAATGATGTAACCAAACATAATAGAAAACTAAGGGAATGAATGACATGAAGTCATAATTACTCTCCCTTGTAAAAAATTGAAATATACTTCCGTTGCACCCTCTTCCCAGAGATGCAAAAAAAATTATTCTTATACATGTTATTTAGCAGAAGCTTTTTGTCTTCTCTCAGTGGGACAAATCTAACAAGAATTATTCTCAACTCAACTTTGTCTGGGACTTATACTGTATCTGGTTATTCAGTATGAAGCTTGGACATCTGGCGCACATTTCATGAACATGCTAACAGTGTTCTTCATAATTACTACACACTGCTTTAAAAATCTGGTTCCAATAAAACACAAATAAGAAATCACATGACAGATTTTCATTCTCAAGGACCTTGCAAGCTACAACTCAATTTATACTTTGTATTTTAATTACAGTTCATCTTTTATTGGGATTCACTTGGTGAAGAACTAAAGAAAAGAGGATGTCGGAATGCTCTGGTCATTTTGTGACACAACACAAAAAAGTATAGGAAAATATTTGATTAGACAATGATGAAAGATCCTAAGCGCAACATTCACAACCAAATATCCAGGAAGTCTTGGACAAGTGTTCTGACCTTAACCAACAATTTGCATCTAACAACACTGGATGTTATTTGGTCTTTTTTCTCACTTGTCCAGCTAAGCGTGGAAACTGGAAACTAAATGGTAGGAGATAGGAATTCGGGAATTTTGATCTAAGAACTGATCATAGGCTCTATTGTGAGAAGACAACCTTTGTAAAGGGGAATCTCTTGAAGAAGAAATCTCTCTTTTAAGTTCTTAGTTTGTAATTCAATAAACACTACAAAAGTATTCTCTTTGATTTATCTCCATCTCTTAAAACATCGGAACCGAATTCTGGGTTTGTAACAATATCTGTCTATTAAATCATCATTATGATCATGCAATTACAATCCAACAGATAATCGTTCGTTAAAAGCTAAGGGAAGCATGCTTTGTCCCCATATGGTCTTTCACTTTCTCTCTTCAGAATAGCTATTTCCGACAGAATGTATAAAATGTGAGAGCTTTTCCAAGTCAGCAAGACTGCTTCACTAAATGGTCAGAAAATGTAATAATATCTAATGTCTACAACATTTCAGCCCAATTTGGCAACAATTCTCTTTGTCTGCTAGGTCCTCCATGGCCTAGTCTGACCTAGAACATATTAGCTAGAGCTTCAAAAGAACTATCCAATTTTCAGGCATTGGCATTTTGGCTTCAAGCTCACAAAACAACTTCCACACAATCTAAATATAAGTTTTCCACGATATTCCAAGAAGTTTTCCACATCAATATGGAAAAAAAAAAAAAAAAGAAGAAGAAAAAACCACATGTATGGCTAAAAGGAATCATAAAAACTTAAAAGTACATTTCATTATACTTGCCAAGTAATATGCTTCAAGGGGTAACTTTATAATAGTAAAACATAGGTAAGCACAATGTTATAAATCAAGGGGGAAGGACTCACTGAGCAGGGAATTTGCTGTCTGTGCGAGCTTCAACCCGTAGCCACCAAAGCAAAACTTGGCGTCCACAACTCCCAAGTGGTTCTACCACAGAAGTGTCCCTGAGCAGAGACAGTGGACTGTCTATGTCATCATCTAACGCTTCAAGATCCTTAATCCAGTCTGGCTTATCATCAAGATCCTTCCAAAGCAACCTAGAATTGAACACAAACCCAGACCACTCAAGCTTTCTGGGCAACACAGGTGCCCTGTCATCTATGTAAACTGCACTTCTTCCTGTATAACTTAACGAATTGAAGGTATGCCACCCAACCAAATTGTTGGTCGCATTACAAGCAGGACCTTGCACTGGCATTGGTGGGGTCTCCTCCTCACCCTTTAAGGACGAAGATTCATCCGCACCAGCTGAATGAACAAGTATTCCAACCGAAACAGCACCGATCCATTTCACACTTTGAATTTCATCAAACAGCTCGATACTATGCATATTGCTATCATCAGCAAACATCACAACTCCATCCAGATTCTCTTTTCTCACAAATCTGTTCCACCAGAGGGAAAATTAATCAAATCTTTTTCTTGTCAACGAACTAAATTTTCAGACAAAGCAAGAACGCTGACCAGGAAGGAGATGATAAAAAAAATACATTATCATGTATATTTCACTGTGTCAAGCATAATGAACAGTTTAGTCTAATGAAATGCCTTCAATTGCGGGGTTTGGTTTTTTTTTTTTTTTTTTCAAGTGAAATAATTATTTCTTATGCACCAACTAGTGTGAAAAGCAGTACCTCCGAAATTGAAACACCTTAAAGCTTCTTGAAAACCAGATACTCGAGTAACTGAAAGCAAGCATTTGAATTTCGATCAAGGAAAGGGGAAAATTTCACCTCAAAGCATGAAGCCGCATCCGAGCCTCCAATTTATGCCTGGCGTCCCAGGAATTCGGCATCCGGTGATTGAACCCAATGTGGATGGTTCTAAGCCCTGACCTGCCAACGACGGAAGCAGTCTCATTGCTGACTCCGCCGGCCTCCACTACGATCCACACCACATCGTACGGAACCAGCATCAACGAGTGCATCACGCCGGTCAAGTGAAGCTTCTGGAACGTGCGCACGTAGGTCGGTGTCACTGCAATCACCGTTCTAGGGTTCTTCTCTCCGAACAGCGCCCTCTGCTCCCTCTGAACTCTCTCAATTATCCGGTGAGCCTTCATCACCTCGTCCGGATGCGGATGCGGCCAAGGCCGAATTCGGATCCCGTGGCGCCCGACTACCACCCGGCTGCCGGTGGAGCCGGTGACCAGACCGGTCCTTCTCGCCGGATTCTCAAGGTTCGCGATCGGGTTCGAGGAGAGGGAGGAATGAGCGCGGAGCGTTACGGAGGTTTCGGTGCCGGCGCCGGAGCCGCCGCCAAACGGAACCGAGAAGAGGTTGGTGGAGGAAGCGGAGAAGAGGAACAAGAAGACGAGGCGAGAGAAGCGGAAACCGAGGACTAGGCTAATGAGGCAGCAAGCAGCATGGAGGAGGAGCCAGAAGACTGTCACCGGCGACTTACCTGAGGCTTCGCCGGTGGATTCCAACGGCGGCGATCCTCTGAAGCTGTTGCTCCGGCGGTTGAGGTAGCTCTGCTGCAACGCCGAGAGCTTCATTCTCTCTCTCTCTCTCTCTCTCTCTCTCTCTCAGAGTCAAAGAGAGAGAAAGTGAAGATAATGGAAGATGGTGATGGAGCTGTGTGTTGTTCTATATGTTGAGTTGCTTCGAAGCTAGAAACAAAGCGCGGTTGAAAATGGTGGTGAATGCTTATGACGGAAATGGTGATGCTTTAGTTTAAAATTTAAATATTTAATCGTTCAGCGTTTTTTCTTTAGTTTACTGGTAAATCTTCTTTTGTGCTAATTGCGTTCTCGTTAGGACACAAAATTAAGGGAATTAAGAGGGTTATAATTGGGATTAGAGTTAAAAGCGAAAGTGAATAGGTACACGTGTACGAAACCGAATGGGTATATAGATTTGGGTTTCCGTAATTTCCTCGTTTAGTGCTAGTGCTTAGGCTCGTTTAGTCGTTTACTACAACACCATATAGAGACAAAACGAGCTAATAAGAGTTATCAAGAGACACGGAGGTAATTAATTAAGGTCAACGGGACTCAAGTCTGTAACCATCAAAGCAAGTCTTATAATATTTCTATTTATACTTCTTATTAGTTACGCAATTAATATTCTTTGGATATCATTAATTAAATATAAATAAAATAAAATAAATGCTTGCCAGTGACTTTAAGTCAATTATTAAGCATTTAAATATATAAAGTATTAAATAAAAATAAATTTTGTTTGAATTCTTAATGTATTAAATGTTGTACTTTGTATTAAATATTTTTTTATATATTTTTTAACAAGTGTCTAAGCTCATTAATAAGCACAATATAATATAATCCATCAATATTTAAAAAATATTATATAAGAATATTAAAACTGTTACAATTAAAATTAATTAAGACTAGTTACTAAAAAAAATTAATTACGACTAACACATCGTCTGATCTCACCACATTAGAGGATAATTTTGTGGGTGAGTTTCCTTTACAGAGTATAAATTCATCTGATTTTGTTGCATAATTAAAGTTAACATATTTCACAAACTACTTGAATTAGCTGAGGATGCCTACAATTTCTTGGTGAATTGGTTACAAAGATTCCCAGAGTTAAAATCCCGGGACTTTTTTATAGCAGGAGAAAGCTATGCTGGTTAGTGTTTAACTTCAATTTTATTCCTCTCTGTCACGCTAATTTGTTGTTTGGTACGTGATTTTTTGTTTTTAGGATTTTGAGAAACTGAAATTTTTACAATTTTTAATTTTTAAATATTATTATAAATTAAATATTTTTATCATATTTTTAAAAATCGAGATTTTCAAATAAAAAAAAAAATTTCCTACCAAACGCCTGCAGCATAACCACATTGTCATTGTCCCTGATTTTCCAGGCCGCTATATCCCTCAGCTTGCAGAGCTAGTCTTTGATCCAAACAAAGATAGAAGCAAATACCCATTTATTAATTTTAAAGGTTTTATTGTAAGTAAATCCACCCTAACAAGAAAAAGGAAATATTTTTCTTTATATCGTAGGAAAATAGTTATATCATGTTATAGACATAAAATTATAAGTGAGACCCATAAGCAAAAGGAGAGAAAAAAGAGAGTGGTGAGACCAGTGTTATTAAACTCGGCCCGGTTATTGATCCGATCGAGGTACTGAGTCACAGGTTCAACCAGTGGGTCACTGGTTCAACCGCATAACCCAGTAAGTATATGTAAATCTATAATTTATTAAAAAAATTATAAATATACTTAAATACTTGTAAAAAAAATACCAATTTCAAATATTTTAATATGAAAATAATAAATTACATTGTCCAACAAAAGATCAATCAAACATATAATATTTGTGATACTAGTGTTTCAGGTTCAGTAAACGATATCTCTAACTATAAATCAAATCAAAATTCCCTGCATATTGCAGAATCAAAATAATATTAGTGTTGTAGGTACATAATCTATGTAAGTTAATAAGCTACAAATCACTCAAATATTTCAAAAGAAAACAAATCATTTATGTTTGAGAGTAAAAAAAGAAGAAGACATTAATATATGAAAATAAATTAATTTTTTTTTTATAGACCGGGCCGGGTCACCGGTTGAATCGACCGGGTCATCGATTTTTACGAAAACCGGTCGAGTCTCATCGGTTCTGTAACATGGCCGATCCAATATGAAAACCGGACCGGTTACATGACCAGTTCATCGATTTCCGAGTCGACCCGGCCGAGTCGATCTGGTTTTTATAACATTGGATGAGACCAACCTTTTTTTGAGTATGTAGGAAAATTGTTTATCTCATGTAAGATGAGATAAACATAACCCAAAAAGAAAAGAAAAAAAAATTAGGAGTACATTTCAAAATAAATATATGTATGTTTATATCTGCAGGTAGGGAATCCAGAAACTGAAGATTACTAAAATATTTTTATTTTAATTTATATTTTTTCTTATTTTAATATTGTTATTAATAAAATATTTTTAATAAAGTTAAGTTTCTTTGTTGACAATAGTAAAAGTTATGATAGAAAATTTATCCTCCTAATTGGTAATTACCCTTCTGTATTGTTCTGAAGGTTTTTAATCTTTCTTTCTTTCCTTTTTTTGGTAAACTATCTTTCTTTCTTTCCTTTTTTTGGTAAACTATCTTTCTTTCTTTAAATAAGGGAGTCTAATCTGTTTTGGTAATTGATTTTGATTTTTAGCACTAAAATAAAAAGGAGAATGCCCATTAGATTTTCACTTTGACAATTGGGAAAATAAAGAAAACAAAAACCAATAAGAATTTATATCGGGACCAATAGCACCCATATTAGGTAGAGTAACATTGAACTGGGTTGGTGTCAATGTCATGGTGACTTGCTTCAGTCTTTAACAAAACCTCAGTATCATAGTCTCGATTGGATCACTTTTAAAAGTAAAAATTATCCGATCAAATTTTTTCGGTTTAATCTTGTAATCATTCATTCGGTTTGAATTTTTTTTTAAATCTGATCCAATGCAATTCAATTTTATTCGGTTTGAAATGGATCAGTTTTTAGTTCTTTGAAAAGGCTAAGATTTGTATGATGATTATTGTGCATATAACTTATCTTTTGTATGTATCGACTTTGTAAAATTTATATAATGATTATTGTGCAATCTATAAGCATTGTACAACAAAAATTTGAATTACCATCTTTTATTTCTAACAAAAATTTATAATATAGTTGCTTGAGATACGAAGTAACCCAACTTTTTATCGTATAGAGGAGCTACTATACAACAATACCCCATGTAATAAAAATATATTATATATCTTACAAAAAAAAGCATAACATAGATCAAACACAACCCACTTTCTCCAATATGATGGATTAATGGGTCTTGGATTTAAAATTTTGCTATATGATTTTTGAGTTTTGATTGGGAAAAGACCGAAGTAGGTAGATAAAAAGGTAGAGGAATTATTGGATTGGTTTGAATTGGATCGATTTTCACCAACTAATCAAATACTGATCCAATCCAATTAAATTTTGTTTTTTATTTTTATTTTTTGATTTTCGATTAATTCGATTTTTCAATTCGGCCATAACGATTTGAATCGGTTTGAATTGGTTGATGAACACCTCTAATCCAAATCAAATGGCAATAAAATGGCTTATTTTTTTGTTGAAATACAATAAAATAGTGAAGATGAGAGCATGTATTCGATCATCCTTATTATTATCTTTGAGAGAATTTAAAGTTTTAATTCTGAAAATTGTCTCAAATCAAACTAATCACGAAATAATAAACTATTGAAATATCTTCAATAAATATTGAAATATCTTCAATAAAATAACCTTATTCGTTCCCAGATTCCAAATTCTGACACCTTCGATTCAAAATCGGACAAGAGATAACAGCTTTCCCAGTTTTCGGCAACACCCACCGTTCGGGAAAAATTTGCAAAAAGGATTGTTCGTACATTTTAGTTTTTACCAAGAATATTTCAGAAGGCTGGTTTATTAACAAGATTTAAAAGTTGGCATTTTTTACTAGATTATACGGTTTAATATTTTTGGAGATAAATTTATCTCTTACACACATAAAAATATGTAAAATATATATAAATAAAAGAGAAAAAAAGACAAAATATGAATTTTGTACGTGTGTAAAAAATAAATTTATTTCATATAAGATGAGAATAAATAAACCCTAGATTATATTGCATTAACATGCAACTATTATCATTCCTAATTACAAAAAGTTGTTATGTTTTTTTTTTTATATAAATGTTGATATTAGGGTAAATTATCAAATATTTATTAGTTAATTTTTGAATATTTATTATAAGTTAAAACTATTAAAAATTTGGAATACATTATATATAGGTACATTTTAGAAAATGTAAGAATCCGAATAATATAAATTAAGATGTCAAAATCATAGGCGGCCATTACAGCGACATATACTTGCAAACAAAGGAATTCTTACCTAATTAGAGCTTCTGGCAGAAAACCCGGCATGCTTATAATTGCTACGTCCTTTATATCTTATTTTTTCCATTTTCTTGGTACATGATGTCTTCTTATTACTCACTTGATTACCACATTCTACCATTATTAATGCATATATAACAGATCCAGCCAACACTCAAGGGGTGTCCTTGTGCCATAACATCATATTGTGTAGAAATTTGCTGATTAAGTAACTTAGTTCACAAACTCAAACTATAATTGTAATGCACTTCAATTTCCTTATATGATTGAAACATAGTAACAGACTCAATGTTAAGTTTTATATACAAAATGATGATTTTACAAAATAAAAATAGAACTGGAATGAGATGAGACTAGCTTACCATTTATACTTTGGCAGTTTTCATAATAAAATGACTCTTTTTTTACACAAAATTGATACGGAATAGAATTCAGTTTGATTTAGATGATATCAGTACTCTCATGATAAAAATATAAAAATAAGGAAATCAACTTTTTCATGTATAACAGTTAAATCCTTTTTTTTTTTATAACTTAGTACCAAAATGCTATAGCTTAAAAGTAGAGATAGCAAAGTGGACGGTACAT